AAAATTATAGAACTATATATTCATAATTTTTGAACTATATATTCATAATTATTAACAGTTTTGGAACCGTACGTAGCATAATTTGCCTAATTTGGGCTAGTGGTTTATTAATAAGAATATTAACTTATTGAGTAGTAATAGTTTGGGATATATGGGATTACAAATAAGAATATTAAGTAGTAGTTTGGGCTATTGGGTTATTAATAAGAATATTAAGTAGTGGTAGTTTGGCTATTGGACTACAAATTATGCTGTGGATCCAGGCTCACCTTGTAAGGTAGACCTAAGTTTAAAAATACATAATTTATATATTAGATATTTACAATTTACATACTGAATATTTATCATTTTATATAATGAATGTTCACAGTTTACATACTGTTCCCAATTTATATATTAAATGATTACAATTTAAATTGTAAGCATTCAGTATATAAATTATGTATTTTGACCAAGATCCACATTACAATGTGAACCCGGATACATGACATAACTATTGCTTTCCAGCCGTAAGGGAATTAATCGGCAAATTATTGTATGGACCATGGTCCACACAATGTTATGTGGACCATAACAAAAAATATATTTTTAATATATTGAATGTACATTATTTTTGTACTGAATGTACATTATACAATATAATGTACATTAAGAATAAAAATAATATACATCCCCTTAATACAATGTACATTATTTTTGTTTTGAATGTATATTATTTTTGTACTGAATGTACATTATTTTACAGTAAACAAAATATGGTCCACACAACTTGTGTGGACCAGTCCATACAATAATGATTGGAATTAATCCTGAATCATTCCCATTTGGGTCAGTGCATTTCAGAGAATTAACTCCAATTTGGGCTGATGCACTAATATTACCACTTGGGCCATCTTTACCCATATTGAAAAATGATTTAATTGATTTACCTCAAACTTGGGGTTTGGGCAAATTATATCGTGCACTGCCGTGTATAATTGATTACGCGTCGAGTTTCAAAATGACGTGATCAGTTTAGATACAATATAGTTTTAGTTGGTAATTAACACTGATCATTTCGATATAACTACAACCTGATCATTTCGATATAACTACAACCTCATTGCATAATATATACTCAAATATGTGAAATGTTATTCAGTTTTTTTTTTTTTTTTATTACAAAGGAAAAGGGACACCCACATATACTATCTACACCTTCACCAAGACGCGAACCTAAGACATCCCACATAAAGGGCCAACCAGATACCAGTGAACTACAAGCCACTTGGTAATGTTATTCAGTTTCATTTTATATACACTGCAATTTTATTTCACCACAACTACATCATCATTTTGATATAACTACAGTTTCATTTGATAATATATAAAATAATATGTGAGACAATGTCGATTTAGATACATTGTAATGTCAGTTTAGATACATTGTAGTTTTAGTTGGTAATTAACACATAAAAAAATGCGTACTCCGTTAACAGTAACGGCATGCCGTTTCTTTACTTAAAGAAACAGTGTCGTTTTGACCGCGGTCCACAATATAACGACTATGGGATTTGCCTTTGGGCCACGAAGAACTGGAATGAACTATCTGTCTTTGGGCCTTTCCTCCTCTGCTCTTGTTTGCACTCCCAATCCATTGATAGCCTATGCATTTTTCTTCCTTTTTCCACTAATTTTTGCTTTGCCAACCAAGGAATTCCTTTGATTCTCCCCAGCCACACTGTTCTGAGACCCCTCCCTTCCAAGCCCGTCAGATTCAAGCCCAGCATCTAGCCTTTTTATTTTCGCAAATTATACTGTGCAACCGAATGCACCATGCGCATGGTGCATTCGACGCAAAACTACGTCGTTTTAGTTAAAAAACGCGCATCTCACTTAAAGAAGAAATCAGGTTCCATTCCCGGCAATAGCATTTTTATATATCCATAAATTCATAACTATATATCCACAAATTCATAACTATATATCCACAGTGAATGAATGAAGTAAAATTCACAATGAATGAACTAAATATCCACAATGAATGAACTAAATATCCATAAATTCATAACTATATATCCAGAAATTCTTAACTATATATCCATAAATTCATAACTATATATCCACAGTGAATGAATGAAGTAAATATCTACAATGAATGAACTAAATATCCACAATAAATGAACTAAATATCCATAAATTCATAACTATGTATCCATAAATTCATAACTATATATCCATAAATTCATAACTATATATCCACAATAATGCTATTGCCGAGAATCAAACCTAAATTTTTTTTTTTAAGTGGGACGCGCGTTTTTAGTCAAAACCACATTGTTTTGCATCGTATGCACCATGCGCATGGTGCATTCGGTTGCACAGCATAAGTATTGTTTTATTTTCTTCACATCAACTCATGAACGAAAAGTACATGCACGAAGAATCCGAATCTGACCAAACAAAAATTGAAAATGAATTATACATATGTTTTCTCCAGGTTTCTCCATTCCTAGACCAGGCCCACTATTCGGCCCATTTTCCTCTCTTCTGAGCGTTATGCTGTGCAACCGTGTGCACTATGAATGGTACGCACAGTTTCAAAAACAACGTCGTTTTGACGTTCGATTTTTTTTTTAAAAAAAAAAATCAGTTTCGATTGCCGTTTATGACGTTATGTTGTGCATAATTTAAACTATATAGTTCATCATTATGGATATATAGTTCATTCATTCTGGATATATATTTCATTCATTATGAATATATAGTTCATTCATTCTGGATATATACTTCATTCATTCTGAGTATATATAGTCCATTCATTTTGGATATATAGTTCAAATTATACACAAATAACGCCGTTAACGACAATCAAAACTGATTTTTTTAAAAATCAAACGCACATTTTTAATCAAAACGACGTCATTTTTGCAACCGTGTGCATCATGCATGGTGCACACGGTTGCATGGCAAAATTTGCCCCTCTCTTCCTTTCGCCTGATAAGTCCCAACCACATCCCATTAAGCCCTTTCTCTGGGCCCACATTTAGAAGCACGGATAGTTATGTTATGGACACGGATCTACCTTGTAAAGTGTACATGTGTCAAAGTAATTAACAAAAAAGTATGCGAAATTACTAAAAGATTAAATAAAGCATTAGTTGGTTAACTAATTACTAGAGCGGTACAAATTTTCAACAACTAAACAAATTATGCACAGTTTGTGCTCTTACCGTGAGGAGCCATAGGCCCATAGCCCCGTCGAAAGAAGCTTTGCTAATTAAAAGAAAGGAGGAAAATATGAACAAATTATTTATAGTTCAAAATAATGAATTATGATCATGAACATGTATATGTGTTGTCTATTTAGCATTTATGAACATCTTTGCAAATATAACGAACATGTTCATGTTAACGAACACATAAATGAATATGTTTGCGAACGTAAACAAATACTACTCATAAACGCTTAACAAATGAACACGGTCATTATTTTTAAAAGTCTTAATAAACGATCACGAACACTCAAAAAATATCAACAAACAAACACGAACAATCTTAGTTCATTCATGTTTGATCCGTTAACAACCCTATTCCTATATATGGATGGGTTTATGCTTTCAACTTGTAGACAAAAAGGGCAAATTATGATGTGTAACCGTGTACATCATACATGTTGCACACTGTTCTATATTCATAATTACTGAACTATATGTTCATAATTATAAAGTTATATATTCATAATTTTTGAACTTCATATTCATAATTATTGAACTCTATATTTACAATTATAGAATTCTATGTTCATATTCCTAATTGTTCAACTCTATATTCACAAATCACATAATTATATGTTCATAATTTGATAATTAACTATATAGTTTATAAATTATGAATCTACAATACATATATTATGAATCTGCAGTATATAAATTATGGATCTACTGTATAGAAATTATGAATCTGCTATATAGAAATTATGAATCTGCTGTATTTAAATTATGAATCTACGGTTTAGAAATTATGAATCTACAGTATAGATTTTATGAATCTACAGTATAGAAATTATAAATCTATAGTATATAAATTATGAATCTACAATACATATATTATGAATCTGCAGTATATAAATTATGGATCTACTGTATAGAAATTATGAATCTGCTATATAGGAATTATGAATCTACTGTATTTAAATTATGAATCTACGGTTTAGAAATTATGAATCTACAGTATAGATTTTATGAATCTACAGTATATAAATTATAAATATATAGTATAGAAATTATGAATCTATAGTATAGAAATTGTGAATTGGAATTGTGTGCACCTTGCATGGTGCACACGATTGCACAGCATAACGTCCCGAAAAAAAAATGCCATGTTGGATAAGAAATTATTGTGTGGACCATGAATATCAGGTACATTTTTAATATATTAAAAGTACATTATTTTGTATTGAATTTACATTATATAAAATAATGTACCACCAGTATATTAAAAATGTATTTTATGTACATAAATAATGTACACCGTGTATATTAAAAATGTACTTTTTATTTATGATCCACACAATTGTGTGGACCATGATCCATGCAATAAAGATTGACGTTGGACTCAACCCATTTTGCACATGCCCGTAACGGGCCAACCCATGTAAATTGAATCGGTTAGTTTTAATACTTCTTTCTTGGAAGCCAAATTGGGATGGAACCCTTCTTTTGTTTGGAGGAGCATTATGGAGTCTCAACAAGTTTTGAAGGATAATTGTCATTGGAGAGGAATCTATAGACCACATTTTCATGTAGCCAATTGTTGTTGGGAGTCTTTTAGTAGTCTGGTAGCTAGGCCAAGTCCCAAATCATTTTTGATGAATGGGTAAGCTTCATTGTGGATAACCTCAACAACCATTTTCAGTGTCTTTTTTTATTGTCTGCTGGAGCCTATGGAATGTAAGAAATCAGAAGCTTTGGAACAACATCCCTGTTAACCATGCCAATATCCTTCGAGATCTTATATTGATGCTTGGAGAGAAGTTCACGGCAAGGAAGGTAGCAGTAAATTATAAATATCTACAGCAGCGTGAGAGATGGAAAAGACCACCAAAAAACACCCTTAAGCTGAATGTTGATGCTGCACTATCTTTGGACTCTAGAACAACAAGTGCAGGCTCCATAATCAAGGATCACAATGGTCACTTTGTTGCTGCTATGGTTAGAAGCTGGAAAGGTCTCTTTCAACCAAAGGTGGTGGATGCTATGGGAATCGGGGAAGCGTTAAACTGAGTAAAATCTCTTGGTATCCGTCATATCCAGATTGAGTCAGATGCTCTAACTGTTATTGATAGTATTAATTCTCATTCTGATTGGACTTCTTTTGACCTCGTCATTGAGGATGTAAGACAAATTGCTAAGATGTTTCTTAATATTAGCTTTGCTTTTGCTAGACCTTCCGCGAATATGATAGTCGCCCATTGACTTGTTAGGGAAGCTATATTCTTGGCTGAATGTATGGAATGGAGACAAGTTCGTCCTTCCTTCCTTATGGATGTACTTTGTAATGATCAAAAACCGTAAACATCTAATATGGATATGATTTCGAACCAAGTCTACAAGTATAACCCCCTAGCTTAAAAATTGGACTAAAGTGGTAGGTCCAAATCTAGTAAAAGAGAAACAACAAATTATTATGTGGACCTGAGTCCATCTTGATTTCAAAAATATATAATTTATATATTGAATATTTACAATTTACATATTGATTGTTCACAATTTTTATATACTGAATATTCACAATTTATATATTGAACGTTTACAATTTACATACTGAATATTCTCAATGTACATACTAAATGTTCACAATTTTATTATATATTAAATGTTCACAATTTACATACTCAATGTTCACAATTCAAATTGTGAATATTCAGTATACAAATTGTGAATATTTAGTATATAAATTGTATATTTTGACTCGAGTCTATGGCATAACTGTAGAAGATAAACTAGCCTCTCTTGTTGTCGGATGCAAATTATTATGTCAACTTGGGTTCAAATATTCACAATTTATGTTTTACAAATTTCAAATTTGTATACTACGAACACACAATGTTAACATATATGTAACTTATTATCTTGTTTGGTATTCACAAGTTTTTTTTTTTTTTTTTTTTTTCAAATACTACAATCACAGAATACTAACAAATTAGGATTTGATAACCTATTCACACTTTTTTGTATACAATTGTTATACTTTTTGATTGTTTTTTTTTAGGGGTGAAACACAACTTTATTAAATCAAATTCTCAATACAAAAAGGAATAGATGAAAACCAAGAAAGTGAACAAGTTTGAGAACGAGCTGCTCTTGCTAACGCATGAGCCGACTTATTCACTGATCTAGGGATGAAACAAATAGACATAACTTTAAAATGTCTTTGATAACTCTTACAATTATTATACTTTTTGATTTAAAAATACAATTTATATATTCTAATTTTTTGTATACAATTATTATACTTTTTGATTTAAAAGCACTATTTATTTATATATTCTAATTTCTAAACACTTTCAATTTTAATACTAAACATAGTTTAAGACCAAGGTCCACCTTATAAAATGGACCATATTATAACAACTCTAAACCCCAAAACCCTCACCCTTGTTCGCCTTTCGCTGAATCCCTTCTGCCTCCTGAAGGGCTGCAATGGCGAAGGGGACTGGAATTCTGGTGAGCTCGAAAGCAGAGCTTAAGCGGAAGCAGAAGGAGCAGAAGAAATCCAAGTCTGGAGGTTTCGAATCGATGGGGCTCAGCCCCAATGTCTTCAGAGGAATTAAGCGTAAGGGCTACAGAGTCCCCACCCCAATTCAGCGGAAGACCATGCCGCTCATCCTTTCCGGCAACGACGTCGTCGCCATGGCTCGGACTGGCTCCGGAAAAACCGCTGCATTTCTGCTCCCCATGCTCGAAAAGCTCCAGCAACACGTGCCCCAGGCTGGAACTAGAGCTCTCATACTCTCTCCCACCCGAGATTTGGCTCTTCAGACCCTCAAGTTCACCAAAGAGCTTGGTCGCTTCACAGGTGACTTTTTTTTTACTCCGAATTTTTATAAAATATATGTGTGATTGCTTTTCGTTTAATCTTTTACACTTGTGGTGTTTTAGCTTATTTATTTTTCAAAGACTTAGCTTGTTTGAATTATGAGGATTTTTAATCCTTGATTTTGACAATTCAATTCAATGCAGATCTCCGTGTTAGCTTATTAGTTGGTGGTGATAGTATGGAAAGCCAATTTGAAGAATTGGCACAAAGTCCAGATATTATAATTGCAACTCCTGGTCGGCTTATGCATCATTTATCAGAGGTAGATGATTTTTCCCTGCGCTCTGTGGAATATGTAGTGTTTGATGAAGCAGATTGTCTATTTAGCATGGGGTTTGCTGAGCAATTGCACACAGTTCTCACCCATCTAAGTGAGAATCGCCAAACTTTGCTTTTCAGTGCAACTTTACCAAGTGCCCTTGCTGAGTTTGCCAAGGCTGGTCTTCGAGACCCTCAGCTAGTACGCCTTGATTTGGAGACTAAGATAAGTCCTGACTTGAAGCTAACCTTTTTCACTCTAAGACAGGAAGAGAAACATGCTGCCATTTTATACCTGATTAGAGAACTAATTAGATCTGATGAGCAGACATTAATTTTTGTTGCCACCCAGTATCACTTGGAGTTCCTTAGCATTCTTTTGAGAGATGAAGGTATTGAGTCTTCTGTTTGTTATGGAAAAATGGATCAAGATGCCCGTAACATCCATATTTCAAAGTTCAGAGCAAGAAAGACAATGCTGCTTATTGTTACCGATGTCGCGGCCAGGGGAATCGATATCCCATTGCTTGATAATGTTATCAACTTTGATTTCCCTTGCAAACCTAAACTCTTTATCCATCGAGTTGGACGAGTTGCAAGGGCTGGTCGTACTGGTACTGCCTATTCTTTTGTCACTCCTGAAGACATGCCTTACTTATTAGATCTTCACCTCTTTCTCTCAAAACCAATTAGGGCTGCTCCTACTGAGGAAGAGGTTTTACGGGATATTGATGGAGTTATGTCTAGAATGGAACAAGCCACTGCAAATGGAGAAACCATCTATGGGCGGTTTCCCCAAACGGCTTTAGATCTCCTCTCAGACAGAGTTCGAGAGATTATTGAATCATCTGCTGAGCTGATCTCTCTTCAAAAACCATGCAAGAATTCATTTAGGATATATTCAAAGACAAAAGCAAAACCTTCTAGGGAATCTGTCAAAAGAGTAAAAGATCTGCCTCGTGAAGGGTTGCATCTGCTTTTCAAAAATCTTTTGGGTGGTAATGAGTTAACAGCATTAGCCTTTTCTGAACGTCTGAAAACCTTCAGGTGACACAATAACAAGTTTAATTTTACATCTTTGGGCATTTGGTGGATTCCATTTATTTAATATTAACTTGTTACTTTCTTTAAGACCGAAACAAACCATCCTGGAAGCTGAAGGTGAAGCTGCTAAGTCAAAACATCAAGTAATTTTTCTCACCCATTTTAGTGCTACTTGATGATTTATGAATAACTCCTTCCTGATTTTTAAAAATATTTTTCACTATCAGTTAATCAAGGTCTCTTTCTCTCTGTATCTATTTGGATAATTTTTTTTGCTTTATTCGAGATTTAAAGTGAGATTCCAATAGATTTTGACTTTGCAATTTTGCAGGGAAGCATATATTGACTATTAAACATTATGCTTATGTTTAGGGTTAGGCTTGCTAAGGTTATGAGACTAAATTGAAGCAACGTTGGTTAATGGAATTTAATCATGTATTTGAAATTGCTACTGCCTGCTTTCGGTACATATAACAGCAGTCTCTGGTATTGAAACAGTGGGAAAATCCATTTTCTGTATTGTATTGGAGAACTCAGTGTTTCTTCATAAGGTTAAGCTAAGAGTAAGGTCTTTCCAAAAAAGAAAATAGAATCAAAGTGTAAAAAACAGATAACTGTAGTCTAGTGTATTTATCAGTAATCCTTCACAAGTTTTTTGACTACTTTTTTATTTATCAAAACCACTTTTCATATGTTTCTTCTGGAATTAAGAAGTATCTCAGATAATATGCCATATTTCCTCTTGAAAAGTGTGTTTTCTGGTAATTCTGAGACACCCTTTCTTAAGAATTGTTGAGATGTTCATGGTTTGCAATCCGGCATCAAGTTTTTGAATAGATTGATCTTTCCTCCAATCAAAGATTTGAACTTTTTTGTGCAAATGTGTTGTTCAAATATGATTTAAATATGCAAATTAAAATTTTGTGCACAGCTTCATTTAATTACAAATTACAATAAGTGATACTTACCATTTTGTTGGTTATATAACTTTTGTCCATATACGTGTTTTCTCCATTTATTGTTTTCTGTGCTCTCCTGTTTGAGTTTATATATGTTTTCTCTATTCACATTATGCGTCTATAACTGTTAGGCATATATATATGTATGTTAGCTTGTCTTTTCTAAGTAGTTTAAGTCACTGTTATTGTTCAATGATAGTGATACAAATGATTTGGAATCATAAGCAATTCCAAAAGAGTATCTTCATTTTGTGTGGAAGGAAAACATGCATTTTTTTCCAGTATATGTAATGGAGAAGTGGAATTGCAGGGCAGTCAGTGGGTTGATGTGATGAAGATGAAAAGAGCTATCCATGAGGAGGTCATAAATAAAGTGCGCCATCAGCGCTACAGTGGCGATCATGTGTCTAAGGTAAAGCTTACTGTAATGAATCCATCTCTTTGTCTTATAAGGGCTATTAATATGTTTTGGTTTTTTTTTGTTTTTTTGTTTTTTTTTTGTTTTTTCTCGGAGAGGGGGGAGGCTCTATCTTCTGCTATTTGTTCAGATATTGTTTGATGGCTCTCTCACTTCTTTGGTCCTTCCCCTTGTTTCTGAGTTGTCATTGCTTTTAAATTCCAAATGCTGGCTTTTTAGTGCTTTGTTTTGTTAAGCTTGCTAAAATATTGGCTCTATTTTAGGATGACACTGAAGAATGCATTTCTGCCCAAGTCAAGGAGAAACCAGGTTCATCCCTGGTCATTCTTAATCTTCTTTACCTGCAATTTAATATCAGAATTTGTATCTGCACTACATTTTAACGATTCCACTTTGTGTAGTTTTGATAGAATTCTGCTCAGTTCTGGAAAAGTGCAGAGAAGAACTGCCTATTGACATTTGTAGTTGAAGAGTGGAGTAGTCCAAAAAATGAATATGAGAGTTTGGCCTATGAGCATCATTTTTATAGCATGAACTGCATATTTGCATTTCTATTTTATTTAAGCCTTCATATCTTATGTCTGATGTGTGTTTAATCAAAGTGTTTCCTTGACTCTATTAAAAACTAGAAATATTAGAGAGAATAGTTTGCTGGGGGAAATTGAGACCTGCTTCAAAGAATATGTATCAACCAATTATGATGTTATGTATTTCTATCACATTTAAAATCCTTAGACACAAAGTATGTACTATATTGTTATTAATTGTTTATTAGCTTTTACATTGAAGCAAGGCTTAACCAATACATTGCAGAGTAATATTTCAATGCATGAATATGCCACTTGAGCATACTTTCTTACTTTTTATTCTTTTTTGCTTGATTTTATTTGGTTTTTTAATACATGTTTTATTTGGCAGTTTCTGGATCTAAAAGAAAGGCTAAGAGCTTCAAAGATGATGAGTACTTCATAAGCGCTGTACCAACAAATCAGGTAAGATTTACAAATCACTGGTTCTGTGTTCAAACATTTTTTGGTGATTGCATTCTGTTTGAACATATTTTGATATGTGAATGTCTAACTCATCCATTTCAGCATTTTGAGGCTGGACTTTCTGTGAAAGCTAACCAAGGATTTGAATCCAATAGGTAAATCTATCAAAACATGCATGCAATTTTAACCTTAGGGTAGAGTGGGATTTTTTGCAACAAGAAATTGCTATTATCTTAAATTTTAGAGTTTTAGATAACATTTCGTTTGGATTAGGTTGGATGCTGCTGTTCTAGATTTAGTAGCTGATGATAAAGAAGGGCTGCATAGACAAAAAACTACGTATCACTGGGACAAGGTACAATCAATCTACTGAACTATCTGCACATACTGTAATCTGTGGTCTTTTTTTTTTTTTTTTTTTTTTTTTTTTTTTTTTTGTTTGTTGTAATTAACTGAATGTGCTCTATACAGAGGAGCAAAAAGTACATCAAGCTGAATAATGGGGATCGTGTGACTGCTAGTGGGAAGGTACTCTTTTTTTTTTTTTTTTTTTTTTTTTTTTTTTTTTTTAATAATTAAGTAATTTTTAAATTTACATACCTGTTAATTTGTGTCACTGGACAATCGTCATTATGTATATGGGGCCCAGAAAATTTTATGCAGTTAAGCAGGAATTGTTATTTGGTATTATTGTACTAATGCTATCCCGTTCTTTCCTTCTTGTGGGAACTTCTGCTAGTTCTTGCTTTTTGGTTTGCATAATCTTTGTGAGATTCCAGGTATACATCTTTCCTTGCTATTTCACATGTTTTGTCAATTGTGCACAGATAAAGACAGAGGGCGGTGCAAAGGTGAAAGCTAATAAAACTGGGATATACAAAAAATGGAAAGAACAGTCACACAAGAAAGTGTCCCTCAAAGGAACCAACATGGATGATAGTATTGGAGAATCAACAAGTTCAGCTGGTAAAGGTTTGTAATGAAACTACTGCATGATCTTTTCTGCTGTTATATCCTCTGATTTCTGAAGTATGAATTTTCATTTTCTAGCTTCATAAAGTCTGTGTTTTGGTGTATGCTCTATACTAGGCATAGTTGTCAAGGCATCGCCTAGGCGTCCGGTTGGTGGAGACCGGATGCCTAACGAGCTTGTCTCGTCTGAAATCAGTGAGGCGAGCTCGGATGTTGCCTAGGCGTCCGGCAGCATCTTGGACCCCTAACCTGGACTAAAACCCGTGTCCGACCCAAGTTAATTTAAAAGTGTAAACCCTCCCAACTTTGCCTTTCACCGCCAAATGCATCTGACCCCACTCCTCCCAGCATTGCCCTTCCACCGCCGAACTGCTGTCGCAGCTGACTGTTCTTTCTTCTTGGCCAACTGGCCGTTTGTTTTTCTTTTTTGTTCTAAACTTCTGATTTCATTTTCTTTCTTTCTTAGTGGCTCACTGGCCATATATAATTTTGTTTACTCTGCTGGCAGTGTCTACACTCTGCTTGCAGGGTGAAAGTCCGCCTTAACAACATTGGTACTAGGATCTCACTACTCTTTGGCCCTGTTTGGTAACATAGTTAGCTTATCAGCCAATTTTGGCTTGTTTGACCACTATTAGCTGTTTGACTTGGTTAAACAGCCAATATGAGTGTTTGTTAATCAGATTTTTATAATAGGATTAATAGCTTATTGTTCCAAAATGCTAAAATTCAAAATTTTTCGATCAGTTTTTTTTGATAAAATAAATTATACTCTTAAAGGTCATTTTGCATGTAATCAGCTATCAACTAACAACTAGTTTACCAAACATCTTTTTACAACCAGCTAATGCTATCACTTCCACTAACCCAATCCGCTAACAACTATTTGCCAAACACCCCCTTCATCTTTCACTGTTTTTTTTTTTTTTTTTTAATACCACAACTGGAAGCATGGAACGAATTTAAGTAAAGATTGTGCATTCCTTAAGAGGCTGATGATGCTTCTAATCCTTCTGTACAGTGTCTCTATTATTATTATTATTCTGTATGGATGGAGTATTAGGGATGCTTTTGTCTAAACCACTCTCTTCTCCCCCTTCTATTACAGATTGACAGTCTGCTGCTGTTTGTTAACTTCTTACTTTGCATGTTTTGATTAGATATCTGGAAATTGAGATGTATCTGTATCTGATCCAAGTGTAACTATACTCACCTTGTCTATTTCCATAGGTGGTTTGGGAGTTAAAGGTGGCAATATGAAATTCCAACGTGGAAGGAAGAATACTAGATCAATACCCAATGCCCACGTACGTTCAGAAATTAAAGACCACGAACAAATTCGAAAAGAGAGGGAGAAGAAGGCAAACAGAATAGCTCATTTGAAGAGTAAGCCCAGCAAGGGAAAAAAATTCAAAAGAAGCAGCAACAAAGGGGGGAAGGGAAGGCGAAGTAACTGATTTGATGTATAGCCTGAATATAGAGTAAGGCTTTAAATTTTGTTGATGTCTGTGTTTTTCTTGTTAAGTGTGTGTGTGTAGGGGTTCCTTTATAACACATCTTATTGAAGCTTAAGAGTCCTTCAAGGGGGAGGGATGGGCGGCACTGCTTCGTTAAGCTGCCACTAAATGCACTGATTAGTATCTTACCCAAGGATGATTTTGATATTTTACAAGTGTACCCTTTTATTCTACTTTTTCTTTTTAATATATTAGTACTCCACCCGTGCACGGACAAAGTATATATATATATATATATATATATATATATATATATATATATATATATATATGAAAATGAAACATTATATATGTCAGATTTTATTTTTGGATTAATTTAGTTCACATGTAATGAATATTTAAGAATTAGTTCATCTATATATGTTAATTTTTTTTGACATCCTTTTTGGCTTTAATTTTTCCGTTATTATTACTCATATATATCACCATACTGCATAATGAGAGCAGTCAATAATTAATGATATTCGATATAATAATTTTTTTTTAAAAAAAAAAAGAGAGAAAACAAATGTGTACAATTCATACCCATTGTAGTATGATACTCGTGCATTGCACAAAATTAGAAATATATAGTAAAAAATTATAAATTGAATTAACATTGTATTTCATTTATAATCTAAATATATAAAATGAGTAATTAGGTTGTTAAGACATGGACCAATATTTATTTCTGAGGCCCAAAGTCCATTTTTAATTAAGTTGTTAAGAGATGACCCATTTTATAGTTTTCTGAGACCCAAAGACCATTCTTTCTTACTCTAATATTTTTTCTGAGGCCCAAAGACCATTGTATATATTTTTTTCTGAGGCCCAAAGACCAGTCTTTCCCTTATCTATTATATTGTAATACGGAGTAATTTGTGGCAAATTATGCTGTGCAACCGTGTGCACCATGCATGGTGCACACGGAATTAGATCCATAATTTTTATATTATAGATTTATACTTTTTATATATGAAGTTAATATTATGTAAATTCAATTTAATACACATAAATTTAGCTCATTCTATCAATTTTATCTTAGTCTAATTTCATGCCATTACTCCATATATCCATTATTATTATTATTATTATTATTATTATTATTATTATTATTATTATTATTATTTTGGTACTCTATCCATTATTGACTTGATCCAAAACTGATTTGTCACTATTTTTTAAAATAAGAAACTTTGCAAGGCCAAGTTTCGGACAAGGTTGAAGCCCAAGGAAGGTTTTGTGAAGATTAATGTAGATGGTAGCTCAAAGGGCGAGGCTGGTAAAGAGAGGTTATTCATAGCTCACAAGGTGATTGGATTATTGGGTTTCGTTATGTCTTCAAGGCTGCTCATTCTAATTGTTATATTCATAATATTTACAACATCAAAATACAATTGGAGATGTTTTTATATTGTATTAGTGGTGTCTCAATAATTGATTTGTACAAATCGGTCCAAAACAATGATAATTTTATAACAGATGTACTAAAGTAAATAAATTAAACCAAATTATTAAATTGTTGATAAAAACAACACAGAATACAATTGAAAAAAAAAAAAAAAAAAAAAAAGAGAAGAACACCGCATAATATAGTAGTGTAGTAGGGCCAAACGAGTCCTTTTACTATAAGTATAAGAAGTGGAAAAGCATTATAAAATGATAATATATACACACAGCACGGACCACACATAAATGATAAACCCCACAAAGTGGCAATTTTTATACTGTTTTTCACCCGCGAAAAAGGCATTGTAAAGTATTAGTTTATAGTTGCTAAGAACTGGAAAGCATGTCCTTCTCGTGGGGGATTGGATTGGATTCAAGTTCTCTGATCTTCACATTAACTTTGCCATTGCATCTTCCTCCCACATGCACTCCGATCCTTTTTTCCTCTCATCAAAGTTCAAACCAAATCCCTTCTGCTTTTCATTTTCTTAATTGATCTCATCATATTAATTCTACTCCACATAGTCACATACATTGCTTTAATTCTTCAAGTCTCAGGAGGATTTGATCTTTTTGGTAGCAAACCAAACCAAACCAAACAATGGTGAAAGAAACTGAGTATTACGATATCCTTTGCGTTAGCCCTTCAGCTTCTGAGGAGGAGATTCGCAAGGCCTACTACCTTAAGGTTACGTTGGTTTAATTTGCAGACATTATTATATTTTACCACTGAAGTTTCCTTATTTAATGGCCGGCTTGAGATTAACCGCATGTGTTGTGTTTGTTTTAATTCCTAAATTAAATTGTATGTTTTTGTTTCTTATTTTGCTCAACTTAACTACTTCTGAATATGATCTTTAATTTTGTGTATTGTACCATTATATTGATGCATAAGCTATCATGAAGATTCTTTTATTTGAATGGTACAGGCAAGGCAAGTTCATCCTGATAAAAATCCCAATGATCCTCAGGCTGCTCAAAGATTTCAGGCATCTTCTCTCTCTCTCTCTATTTATTTATTTGCTTTCTTTCTTTTACTCACTGCTATGTAAGGAAGAAGTAGTCCATCTATTACTTTTTTTTTTTGTTGGAAATTAAATTGGCATTAGAATATAGCTGTAGTTTCTGAGGGCAAATATTCGTGTCAACAGATTTTGGGGGAAGCTTATCAGGTTTTGAGTGATCCGGTGCAACGAGAGGCATATGATCGAAATGGAAAGTCTTGTGTTTCCATGTAAGTTTTTCAGAGCTGCTTAATTTTGCATCAAATATAAAAGCTTAGGCCTACAAATGACACAAATCAAACCCAAAGTGTAATAATCCTGTCTTTTGTCTAATAATGTTTTATAAGACAAATATCTGACCATACATACATAATTATATATGTCAAGGCTGTTTTAATATGTTTTTGTGATCCCAGGGAAACAATGCTTGATCCAACTGCTGTTTTTGCCCTTCTCTTCGGAAGTGAACTGTTTGAAGAGTATATAGGACATCTGGCGGTTGCATCAATGGCATCCTCTGATTTAGTGGACAACGCTGATAAAGTTCATGGCAGGCTCAAGGCAAGTGTCTCAAATTGAATGAATACATTTAATTTGCATAATTAATACTGTTTATCTCAAAGGGTAATTAGAAGCCAGGCTAAAATATACTGATCGAGTAGTAGTGTTTAGAGTATTTTTATTTGATGTAATGAAGGCTGTCCAGAAGGAAAGAGAACAAAACCTTGCTAGAAAATTGAAAGGTTTTCTTCAGCAGTATGTGCGAGGTGACAAAATAGGATTCATACAACATGCTGAATCTGAAGCAGAACGACTGTCAAATGCAGGTTAGCCATCAGATCAATGTAGTATGTATATGCCTTTAACGATATGATGATGCCTCCTCCTTTTGATGGCATTGTTATTATATTTACAGCTTTTGGTGCTGATATGTTGAACACCATTGGATATATATACACAAGGCAGGCAGCACAAGAGCTGGGGAAGAAAGTGGTTTACTTAGGAGTGCCATTTTTGGCAGAGTGGGTTCGAAACAAAGGACATTTCTGGAAATCACAACTCACTGCAGCTAAGGGTACACTACACCTTCCAAAAACAAACTTACTTACTTTCTGTAAAACTGGCTAGCTCGCTCATGAGTGATCGAGTGTGATGTGAACTGAACTGTTTTTTAGGTGCATTTCAATTGTTGCAACTTCAAGAAGATGTTCGTCGCCAATTCAATTCCAAGATGGATGGGAGTGGGCTTGAAAATGATGTGGAATCACATTTGAGGTTAAACAAGGATGCACTAATGAGTTCATTGTGGAAAATGAATGTAGTAGACATTGAAGTCACTCTTTTACATGTCTGCCAAATGGTAAATTTCACGCCCTACCTAGCTTCCAAGATGATCAGACTTGTTTCTTATCAGAGGCATTTGCAGGTTCTGCAAGAGAGCAACACCAGGAGAGAAGAGCTGAAGAAACGCGCAGTTGCCTTAAAAATACTGGGAAAGATATTTCAGGTACAACTAACTAACTAACATGCACTTACAAACATATTTCTAACGTTTGTTCAACATTTGACATACATTTTGCAGAGGGAAAAGCTTGCCCAGAGTACGGCGGGAACATCTAAAAAGAAAAGTATGGCTGATAAGTATGCAGATGAGAGCAGTTCTGATAGCAGTGATGATGAAGAAGATTCTTCATCATCTCCAACTCCTCTTAATTACCGAACTCCTCTAGTCACGCAGGTGATCTGAGGTTTTCATAATAGTTACTAGCTAATCACCATTTACACCAAATAACTAATGCCTGTTTGACCAAATGGCAATGGCAGGGCATTGGTAGACTGTTCAGATGTCTGTGCAACCCAGCTTTTGATGTGGACGATGAAGAAATTGTGTACAAGGGCAGGTGATAGCAGCTGCACCTGGAAAATACCTTAAAAATTCTTCCCCAGAATGTATGCTTTCAATCTTTCTTTCTTATTTCAAGTTCAAAGTTTCATCCTCAACTCCTTGCAAAAGCTGTAATTTGGACGGACAGTTTGATGGTAACATTTGTGTACATTAAACATCTTGTAATTAGAATTAGAGATGTTTGAAACTCTGAAACATTAACTGGAAAAAAAGTTGTTGCAAGTGCCATAAAATAAGACCATAAAAACATGCATGCATCAAAGTCCATTAACATAAGTCTTTCTCAGTCCAAAAGCTACAACACTTCAAATTGCAAAAGCCTAGTCGTTCACACAACAAGAGAGAAAGAAAGGGAATATATACAACATCGTACTCTGAAACCAGAGAGACTGGTATTGCCATCTCTCTACGACAATACAAGACTTACTTAATGAGCCGTGTGAGGCACTGCAGTGTGTGCACGGTGTGCTTGCACCGCGCAGGCGCAATGCACTGATGTCAGGCTCAGACAACCGCTTATAATGAGGGAATGACGGCCTGGGCAAGTATGGAGAGCAGGGAAGGAGTCGCAAACTGCCTGAACAGCCGGAGGGGTGAGGGCTGTGCACTGGCTGATGTTCAGATTCATCAGCCCTTCTTCCTCGTACCTGCTCTTCTTCATGGATTGCCAAATCTCGTGCTTGTGCTTTTTGGCACGACTTTGAGCCAGAGAGTACATTGCCCTATCCGTTATGTTCTGGCAGTAGTACAGCCCAAGGGATCTCAGGTGAGGACAGTTGTTTGCCAACGCAATTACGCTTTCATCTGTGCCCATACATACAACATATACATATCAGTAATGCAACAAACCTTTCAACACAGATCGGTTGTTGTTGAGCATATAACCATTAATGTGCAATCCAACTATTAGCTTAGGCTTTTAGTTGAAATGTAGCACATGCTTCAATTTGGTATCAGAGCCAGACCAAAGGTCATGGGCTCAAAACTTGGCATATTGCAGAAAGATCAAGAAAATACCCTACTATATGGCTAAACACAATGAATACCTGTTATAAGAACACAGCCACACAAGTCAAGGGCTCTCAGATCAGGGCAACCATAAGCCAAACTCATCACGCCTTCATCACTGACTTTCTCACACCACCCCAGAGTTACAGACTGCAAGCGGTTGCAGTAGTATCCAATAGCCTGAAATTAGTTGTCACGTCACATTTAAAAGACTCATCATCTGCAGTTAGTTAGTTCGTTAAGGATGGAACTTCAAAACACAGTTGCTATACATACCTTCAATGCCTTATCAGTGGCTCCTTTAACGCACCCACAGAGATTAAAGACTTCCAGTTTCCTGCAGTGCTCAGAAAGATATGCAATTCCATTATCACTGAAAGCCGTGCACCCACTTATGTTTAGCTTCTTGAGGTTTGGACAACCGTGGGCCAACGCATATAGAGAGCGGTCAGTCAGCTTAAAGCTCTTGCTCAGATCTAGCTCTTGCAGTTCATGACAGCGATTTGCAATTGCCTCAACAGCATTATCCTGAAGTTGTGGTAAGCTTTGTCGCAGAATTAGAACCCTCAGCTTTGTGAACTTGCAAACGAGCGATAAAACCAAATTGTTCATGTTTTTCTTGCACCTGTTAACAAAATCATAAAAAATTGTTCATGTTTTTCTTGCACCTGTTAACAAAATCATAAATACCGGTACATAGGTTTTGTTTTTCTAAACTCTTAACTTTTTACTGGCATCCAGACATCATAATCTTTAATCATGAACTTTTCAAATTTCAATTCTACATCAAGTTGGAAAGGGAAAACATATGTGAGGACAAAAAGCGAAGAGAAGTGAAAGAGCAATAACATAAATGAATAAGAAACAGAGAACTCTTCTATGAATCAAATGCATCATCCATTATGTATAATGAAATCACCATATTTGCTACTTTGCAACTAACTCACCATGTCAAATGAATCAAATACAAATTTGACTAGCCTAAATGCATCACATGAGAAAAACATATACAACAGTCTGGACTTCTAAATCAAGCTGATCATTTGATCAAACCTCACTGTTCAGAAGAAGCACAAATTTAAGAAAATTCACTGAGAACCCTTTTCAGGATTGAAATATCCAAGTATTATATCAAGCATCCATGCCACCAAAATGGTTTTTTTTTTTTAAAAAGGGCTTGAAAATAAGATAGAAACAGAATAGAGAAACAAAGAAAAGGGGGAAAGAATTATACCAAGAAAGGGAAAGTTGGGTGAGACCCCAAGAAATGGCATCTCTCCAGCCACAGCAAACTCCAGAAGCCACAATAACCGTCCGATCATCCACCAGAGAGACAATCCTCAACAGAAGCTCCATTGGTATGTCCTTCCACTCCTTGATCATAATTCCCCCCACCCTACCATCACTACTACAGCTATTGCTAACCATCAACTTGTCAAAGCACAAGTCCTCAACCCCCATCACTCAAAACCTGATTTTGTTTCCTTCCTCTCAAACCACAGCCTTCCTTATATACAAATCCCAACAAAGATAATCTCTTATCGCTGTCAATCACAAAGGAGAAGAGATAGAAAGTAAAGTTAAATAGAGAGCCACAAAAAGAGATAAGCTTTAGGCTTCACCTAGGACACTGCTCCTACATCTAATTTTACTATGCAAAAAAGGTCTTTGTGAATACAACCACTTGTGCTGCTAATCAACACATAATAGATAACAGACGAACAAGTAAAGACAAACCATAAGCTATTATCCGAAGAACAGAAACTGATTATGAAAGGCGAAGGTAACATACCCCACACCAATTCTTGAATTTTGGGAAGATAGATTACCTTTTCCTGAGTTTTTGATTGTTTCTTGAAATGTGCAGCTGGATTCTGGAGAAGAAAGAAGAAAGAAGAAGAAGAAGAAGAAGAGTGTAACGACGGGGAAGAGAGTTTAAGAAACGTACGGGGACAATAACGGAGCGACGTGTGCAGAGACACGTGGCAGTCATAGGTGATCTCTAAGAGAAATTGTGATCCGACGGTCCAAACAATCCAGAAGATTTATACTCCTTAATTTATATGCCTTAATCAAAATTGATCCTCAACAATTCTATTTAATTTATTTATTGGTATAACTTCTATGTTTAAAAAGTGATATGGAAATAGCCTATCACCCAAAATAATAATAATAATAAGACATGCAAAATGCCAACTTCTGTGATTTACAAGAATGCTTTAAGATGAAGTTACTACATCCTACTTCATAGTTACCGTTTAATTAATTTGATTAAAATTATTTAAAATACAATTCTTACTCTTATCAATGTTTTATTTTTTATTTTTTTATATGTTATTATTACAAAGTCGATATTATCTTAAATTAAGCGGGCCCACATGGTGGCCTCGTTTTGTGATATAAAATATGATTATCACAAATTTTGATGTGATTGGTGATGGAGGGCGGAGAATGCAGGAGACGAAAAGTGGACCCCATGAATGCAATTTTAATTTTTTGTTTTTGTTTTTTTTTTTTTAAAGAAAGAATGGAGTGGAAAGAAGAAATTAGTTGTCAAGACAAAGTGGAAAGGAAAGGAAAAGAATAGAATGGGGGAGGGTCCAGAAGGTTCCTTATTTTTTGTGCAAATTCGAAGCCGTGTGCATTATAAACATTACTCCCGTAAATGCCGGTCTCTCGTGTCTGTTTGCCAACCATAATGACATAACTACTCGCTTTGGCATATATCAACAACTCAATTGGTTATAAAGATAAAATTTAAAAAGAATAATAAGAGATTGAGTCTCACCAATAACATGTAAGAACAATCTATGTAGTTTAGCTAAATTATCATGATTTATATAATTTCAGATACTCTATTCGATCAGAGCGTAAGGTCATTGATATTGAAAAATCAACCTTTCAGAAAAAATAATTAATTGCTCTCAACAACTCAAATAATTGATTAATAGGTCATAAATGAAAATTAGAAAGTGATCTTGTGCATTACGTAAATAAGAAACATCGTAAATAATTTTTAAAAGGTATTAATATTATACCATTTTTTTTCAAAATTATTCAACTTTAATAAATATTTTATTTTTCGTTTTTGAAAGAATAATCAACATATTGGGTAAATATTAATTATATTAGGGCTAACATATTTTTCAAAAAGGAAAATACCAAAAACTATATTTTTCAACACACTGCCACTGGTGAGACTCAATCCTAGTCATTTTTTTAAAGTTTTACCTCTGTGATCAATTGAGCTGCCCATGGGGTATCAAAAACCATTTATTTTTCTTACATCTTACATATTATACATAATTCAATTTAACATTTATTTATGGTAAATATGGTATTTTCAAATTGTGTGTCTGTGTGTGTGTATATTACTACAATTCCTTATAGTTCATTTATTATTGTTGATAGACATTATTTCTTTTAGGGAAAATGACAATTTTCCCCCTTTAGTTATATATTTATAGCATTTTTCCTTCCTAAATTATTTAAGTGGCAATTTTTCTCCATAAAATGTTAAATGGACATATTTACCCTTAAAACAAATATTTCATTTATTTTTCTTCTCCAACAATTAATGACCACGATTCGGTTCAAACTAAACAGATACTATAGCAACCAAACTGAAATATTCTGATTACAATTTAGAATCAAAACCTGATATTTAGAGTTTATTAAAATCGCGAACCGAAACGGACGGTTCATGTTCCGAACTGAAAAAAATACATTTACTGTTGAATATAAACTATTTTAACAATAAAAAATAAAATTTTAAAATAATGTTTGAACTAGCAGTTCAAACTGGATCCGGAATTGTGAACCGGTGGTTCAAAATCAAACCAAGCCGCAGTCATATATACTTATATGTGAGGAGAATCAGAATAAATGTAAAAAAGAACATACACTATTTGTAAATATTATAATTATAATTTTAAACTAATGCTAGTAGTTGTTCCAATTCGAACCGTCGGTTCACGGTTCATGATCCCGCTTTTTCGATTCATGTTTTTAATAAACTGAAATCCAAATATTAGGTTTTGGATTTGAATCATAACTGAAAACTTTCAATTCGATTGCTATAGTGTTCGGTTCAGTTCGAATTCAACCGTGGTCATCCCTACGTATAAACAATAATTTGTTGGAGAAGAAAAATAAATAAAATGTTTACTTTAAGGGTAGAGATGTCAATTTAATATATTAGGGGGAGGGGGGAAATCGTCACTTTTAGAATAATTGAGGGGACTAATATGCTTACATGAATAACTAAGGGGGAAAAATTGTTATAAGTATATAGTTTAGGGGGAGAAAGTGTCATTTTCTCTTCTTTTTTTTTTTTTTTTAATGGAAAAGACGTTAGTATTTTTTATAAAATTAATTTAAATACAACTTGACATTTAACCATTTTTTTTCTCGTCTATAAAACCTAGGATGGATAACTGTTTTTTTTTTTTTTTTTTTTTTTTTTTTTTTTTTTTTTTTAACAATTGAGAGGATAATTTGGCATTAAGAATTGGTCAAGTCAAAGAAGAAAGTGAGGCACAACTTGCACAAGAATGGGTACGGTGGAGGTTGCTATCAGCCCTTAATAATAGCAATGGACATCCAAACTCTGGAGCTTCACTTAGATAAGTTAGATTAATCCAAAAGATGTTGTGAATAATTTGTCTTTTTTTATTTTTTTTATTTTTTTTATTTTGTGGAAAATGAGAATAATTTGTCTTAATAAAGTAAAATTTGAGTTTCGAGCTCCTTCTTTTTCTTTCACACACATATATTTATATTTATATTTATATTTATATTTTGTCGGGTTTCATTAAGAGATACATACCAAGCTCTCAATTTTATATTTAAAGTACTCAATCAAGTTCATCTTATTGAACGAATACTTTTTGATCTCTTACATACATATATGAAGATTCATGGTGCTAAAACTTTTATTTATAAAATTTAATTACATTTTAATAATATTCATTGATCAAATTGACAAATTTCTACATCAAAGTTTACCATTCATTTTTTCATGAACACCATTAAATTTAATGATTAAGTTTTATTGAAATTAAAAGTTATATTGATGTAATTAGTTGTTTCTATGACTTGTATATTGTGCTTTTTTTTTTTTTTTTTTTTTTTTGGGTACTTTTGCATATACTTTTTAAAATTTGTCATACTCTTCTTAGTTTTGTGGGCACCATTTTCAATTCTATGAATTTGTTAATTTTTTTTTTCCTTTTATATGATCATGAGTTGTGTTGAAATTTGTTTTCTAATTAAAATTTTTAATTGCATACTTTTTATAATGTTGGTGTATATAAAACTTTTAGCTCAAATCTTGTGGTGGTTAAACAAAAATTAATATTTTCTCTTTTTTTTTTGAGTGTTGACAAATTGATTTATTTGTTAACTACATATAATTATAAATTTAATTGTGTAAATTGTTGAATACTTGAATATAATTAGTGGAGACTTCAAGTACTTAATATACCATATAATTAAATATTTTGTTAGAATAAAATATCTAAGCAATAGATCAGATGTACTTCTAAACAAAACAAAATTTTGATTATCAATTATATATACGTGAAACTATAGTAATTTTTTAAAATGCATTTTGATCATACAATTGTATTTTTTGTTAAATCATTGATCATTTATTTAATTACACGATACACTTCATTTAACTATACATTAATTAATACTATAAAAACAAAATTAGACATTTTTCAGTAGTGCATGAACTAATATAAAAATGTGTACACATGTTGAGATAATGCATGGGTATTTGTGCATATATGTATGTATGCTTACACATGGAGGCATATATGTAATGTAAGCTGTATATTGTGGGCAAGCTATATATGTATATAGTATATACATAGGCTGACGTTTGGGTATGTATATCTTCAATTTGTTACGACTTACGAATTGACAATTAAAGAAATTACATCATTTTCAAAAGTGCAATTGTTTTTCTCCGTATATATTTTTAGTGAAGATTGACATTTTTAGTCATTTAATTATTCTCATCTAGTTGTTTTTGTCTTTTAACTTTTTATTAGTTTTTACCATTAAAATATACTCTAACATTCGTTTACCATTAAACTTGTTGATTTTATGACTTGTTAACAGTCAACGACTGGACGATGAAAGATGTGAATCGACAAATTGAATTCAGCAATAGAATAGGAGCTACAAGTATATCAGAAATAGACCTCTAACTAACACTGAGTAAAAGTCTAAACTAACTACACTATTCTATAACAACATTGACTATTACAATTGCAACATAATAAGAATAATAATAATAATATAACTAACACACCCCCTCAAGCTGATGGTGGGTGCAACACAACATTCAGCTTGTCCCGCAGAGTAGCAAAGCGTGGAGCAGGTAATGGTTTGGTGAGAATGTCTGCTAGCTGATCTGTAGTAGAAACGTAGTTGACGACGAAATCTCCGGATGCAACCTTATCTCGGACAAAATGGTAGTCAATCTCCACATGCTTCGTACGTGCATGGAATACCGGATTAGCGCAGAGGTAGGTAGCCCCAAGGTTATCGCACCACAAGGTAGCTGGTTGACCAGAATGTAACCCAAGTTCACGTAGTAAGGAAACCACCCAAGTAACCTCGGCCGAAACATCTGCTAGTGCCTTATACTCCGCCTCGGTAGAAGAGCGAGCAACAGTACGTTGCTTCTTCGATAACCAGGAAATGAGATTAGACCCCAAATAAACTGCAAACCCACTTGTGCTCTTCCTATCTATTGGACACCCGGCCCAATCAGAGTCCGAAAAGGCATGTATAGTAGTCGAAGAGGATGGTATTAACCGTAACCCGTAGTGAATCGTGCCTTTAATGTAACGTAGTACTCGCTTAACCAGACCCCAATGATCAACTGTTGGCGCATGCATAAATTGACAGAGTCGGTTCACTGCATAGGACAAGTCTGGTCTAGTAATGGTGAGGTACTGTAAAGCCCCCACGACGCGACGATATTGTGTCGGATTGTCAAACAGCTCGTCAGAGGGAGTAACGGCCTTGGTGACCGCAGCCGGTGTTGCCAGTGGCTTACAGTCAATCATGCCCGACCGACCAAGCAAATCAGACATATATCGGCGCTGTGAAAGAATAATATTATCCCCATCGGTCACTGTCTCGATCCCTAAGAAGAAACCTGGCGCTCCAAGATCTCGGATTTTAAAGACCGAGGCAAGACGATGTAATAAGTCACGAACCAAAACAGTGTCATCGCTCATCATAATAATGTCGTCTACGTAAACCAGTAAGTAAACCCGAGAAGCCCCCTTAGTATAGTAGAACAAGGAGACATCGGTTTTAGAAGCCTTGAACCCCGTAGAAAGTAAGAAATCCTGTAGCCTTTTAAACCAGGCTCGGGGAGCCTGTTTGAGGCCATAGAGAGACCGTTCAAGTAAACAGACATGACCAGGATTAGTTGGATCCTCGTACCCTGGGGGTTGTTTCATATACACGGTTTCTGCCAGATGCCCGTTTAAGAAGGCATTGTGGACGTCTAACTGACGTAGTGTCCACTTGTTTGACACAGCAAGAGAAAAAAGCATACGCACCGTGGTAGGTTTGACCACGGGGCTAAACGTGTCAAAGAAATCCTCCCCTGCTACCTGGTTGAACCCTTTTGCAACAAGACGGGCTTTATAACGCTCTACCGAGCCATCGGCATTGTGCTTGGTCCTGAATACCCACTTACACCCAATAATATTCATATGTGGTTCCGGTGCCACCAACCGCCAGGTATGGTTATGTAATAGGGCATTAAATTCTAGATCCATCGCCTCCCGCCAATGAGAGTGCCCAACTGCCTGGGAGTATCAAGATGGATCAGTAGTTACTGTTAATGCCTGAAACGGCTCACTTGTACCTTTAGTCATATGTCGGAGACGCATTACATGATCCCGGCTTACAGGCTGATTTCGAGCCCTACGAGCTCGTGGCTTGGCAGGTGCGGTGTGAGTAATGGCCAAAGGTGGCGGTATACTAGCCAAGGGCATAGGTTCAGGACCTGGTGCCGGTGCAGGTGCCGGTGCAGGTGCCGGTGGTTCAGAGTCCGGTGGAGAGTACAGAATAATGGGCATAGAAGCCCAAGGCACCGCAGGTGTTGGCGGTGGTCCCTGCATCACATTGCCTGTTTCAAAAGGAAACACACTTTCGTCAAATCGGACATGGCGACAGATGTAGGTTTTCCCACTCGCCAAGTCGATGCATCTATATCCCCTAAATGAGTTTGGGTAACCTAAGAAGACGCAGGGTGCTGAGCGATACTCAATCTTATGCCTGTTGTATGGGCGTAAGAAAGGGTAACACCTGCACCCGAAGACACGAAGAAAAGTGTAGGGTGGTGGTGTATTATAGAGACGAGTGTATGGACTATTAAACTGAATAGCAGACGAAGGTAGAAAATTGATTAAACAGGTGGCCGTTTCAAAGGCGTAGTCCCAGTATTGTTGCGGGACTTTGCCTGCAGCAAGTAGAGCAAGCCCGGTTTCGACAATGTGTCTATTCCGGCGCTCCACACGGCCGTTTTGTTCATGTGTATAGGCACATGATTGACGGTGATTAATTCCCAGTGTTTGAAACGTATTGTGCAGTTTGTGGTATTCACCCCCTAAGTCCGACTGAATTGATTTGATAGAGCGCGAGAACTGTCGCTCTACCAGGACCCGAAACGAATCAAAAATTTTATAAATATCTGATTTCACCCTTAATGGGTAAAACCAGCAGAAACGGGAAAAATCATCTACAAACAGAACGAAATATCGAAAGCCAGTTGTAGATATTACAGGTGATGAACCCCATATGTCGGTAAAAACCAAATCTAATACATTTTCACTTTTATTTGGGACCCTATCTAATTTAAATCTTGCTGATTTCCCAAGATGGCAAGCTGCACATGACTCCACGGACTCGGCTTTATTGGACTCAACCGGACAGTTCTGTAGAATTTTATTTTGAACGAATTTGTGGGGATGCCCAAGACGACGATGCCACACAGTGGGTGTAGCACGGGAACTGACGAACGCGTGATGAGTCTGGGAAACCGGGAGCTTATACAGTTCGCCCGATGCACGACCTTTAAGAAGAACTGCTTTGGTTGTGGAGTCCTTCACAAAAAGCAGTCAGAATGAAATTCAAAAAAGACCCTGTTTTCAGACGTAAACTTGTTAACGGATAAGAGAGGAACAGACAAACTTGGTACGTGTAAAATATCAGACAGATATAAATTTTTAGATACGGAAGGAATTAATGCACGACCGACGCGTGAGATTGCCAAACCTGCCCCGTTTCCAACTCGTAGCACATCTGATCCCCCATACTCCTCGGAATGCTGCATCATACCCGCATCCGGTGTCGCGTGTGCGGTGGTGCCAGTGTCCGGGAACCAGCCGTCCGGACCTGAAGTCGACGACGCCAGAGCTTCCCCGGACACGGCCATGTGCGCCTGAGGCGGCTATGTACTGTATCGTTTAAAGCAGTACACAGCCGTATGGCCATGCGAACGGCAAATTTGGCACCTCGGATTCCCGTTACGGCCGCCACGTCTGCCACGTCCCTGTCCTCCTCGACCACCGCGCCCACGGTGGTTCTGTGTCTGCCTGCCGCTATTGTTCGGTGCTCGGCCAGCATACATCGCGGTCGCCAGAACACCGGGCTCAACCGCCGAGGGGTAATCATCTACGAGTATAAACTCGTGTGCCTGCAAATGGTCAGATAAGTGAGCGAGCGTTACCGGATTCCCGGAAGCAGTGAGAGAGGCCGCGATCGCTTTGAGTTCCGGTCTGAGCCCGCGGAACACATATAAATTTTGCTCCATTAAAGAGAGCGGTCTGCCAGCCTGAACGAGAGCCTCGTCAAGCATTTGCGCGCGGCCCAGATAATCCGCGATCATTGCATTCCCCTAGCGTAGCATCTGGAATTGCCCGAGGAGGCTCAGGCATCTCGCCTGACTGGACGAGCCGAGGGCCTGAGTTATCGACGCCCAGACTTCCGCCGATGTGTTGCGCCCAACCGCGAGATGGAGAACCTCATCTGACATCGCGGAAACAAGGAGAGACAAGATTGATTGGTCTTGTTTCTCCCATATTTTGAACGCTGGATTGGGAGTGACGACAACCGTAGCAGCCGCGGAAGAGGATTCGGCGGATGATGGCACTTCTATGGTGGTCGGCGGACACGGAATGGTTCCATCGACGTAGCCGAGCAGGTCCTGACTCCGGAGGAATGGGAGCAGTTGCGTACGCCAGAAGAGAAAGTTACGGAAATTCAGCTTCATGGACACAAAATGGTGCGCCCCGTTGAGAGGATTGGCGCTGGCCGGAGACGGAGAACCGGCGGCCGAGACAGTGCGTTCCGATGAGCTTGAAGCCATGCTGACGGAAGGTGGTGGTGAGAGGGGGTAAATTTAGTGGTGGAGAGAGATTCTACACCTGCTCTGATACCAGATGAAAGATGTGAATCGACAAATTGAATTCAACAATAGAATAGGAGCTACAAGTATATCAGAAATAGACCTCTAACTAACACTGAGTAAAAGTCTAAACTAACTACACTATTCTATAACAACATTTACTATTACAATTGCAACATAATAATAATAATAATAATAATAATAATAATAATAATATAACTAACATGGACAACACCACTATTAATACAAAGAGCAAATATGAAATGATATGGTGGAAGTATGTTTTATTAAGAAAAATTAGATCTCATGTTATATTGAGATTCCAAAGGTGGAAGGCTCTTTACAGGTCAGGAAATACTAAGAGTATTTTTTTTTTTTTTTATAGAAAAAGCTAAGCCCCTTCTCTTGAGGAATCAATTGGTTTTTATAGTACTATGCACAGAATCACGGAGACACATGTCGGGAATCTCACGATGATTGGTATGTGGCACCTAACTATATGTCTGTTAGGTCGGTTATACCATGTGCTTGTATTAAGTTGACTAAAGTTGATGGGACGGTGGAAAACACTTCATGAGTCGCTTGTTTGTTATAGTAGGTCTGATATCCCGACTCGACATACAGGTCGTCAGGAAGCGCACCCGCTAGGGTCATCTTGAAGTCAAGAACTATTAGATAATATCTGTATATTCTTATCTCCTATGTACTAAGTAAAATCCTAATAGAGTTTAGTTGTGTTACTCCGATGACTAAAAGTATAACTTAAAAAAAAATTAGGGTTATATTGCAACGTCAAAAAGTTAGAGTGAAATTGCAATGACTAATATGGAATAATTGAGAGACTACAAAGACAATTTTCCTTTATAAATACAGACACTTACATGAATCTAAACTAAATAAAAATAGAGAAAATATAACTTGGATTCTGAAAGAAGAAATATATATGGAGTACAAATTTTAATACACCTATACTAAGTAAAGTTCTAACGGGTTGGGTTTAACAGTTATGCTGCTCCAAGGATTAAAGTTACAACTTTTGAAAAGAATTGAAGTATATTGCAACATCAAAGAGTTAAAGATTAATATGATTAATAAAAAATAATTGATGAACTAAAAATATAATTTTTTTTATTAGATACGAACAATTATATGAATCTAAACTAAATAATTCTTGCGTGTCACAGAAAAAGATGGAAAAAAATAGAAACAAAATTCCGAAAGGAAGGATCAAAATGAGCTACTTCTACCAAGTTCATAAAAAATACCTACAACCAAGTGGCTTGTAGTCCATTGATATCCGGTTGGCCCCTTATGTAGGATGTCTTAGGTTCGAGGCTTGGTAAAGACGTATATAGTATATGTGGGTGTCCCCTTCTTTTGTAATAAAAAAAAACAAAAAAAAACCTACAAGCCAGTTAGCCAGATTGGGAGAATTAAAGAAACTAGCCAAATTAAACCCAATCTGGGTGGTTCTATGTTATATTTTCAATGTAATTGAAAAAAGGTTTTTTAAAGAATATAATTACCATTAAGATGGCAAGGATTTTCATTTTTTTTTTAACACTGAAAAAAAAAAAGTAATAAAAAATTGTTAGGCAGAAGTTAGTAAAGAGCAAGTCTAGCACTTTGACTCAAAAAAATGTATGACGGTACGGTATAAGAAAATAAATTTACGTCTTTACTACTAACTATAACTTTTGACGTAGTAATGAGCACTTGATCTTAACACAAACCAAACAACATACCGTCATTAATTAACCTAATCAAGTCAAACCATTCTATTTAATTTAGATGTCAATTTGCGAGATTTGATAGTACCATAAGTAAATAAAGGGATAAGATCGTTTTTATATGATGCAACTCTCTCTCTCTCTCTCTCTCTCTCTCTCTCTATATATATATATATATATATATATATATATATTTATTTATTTATTTATTTATTTATTTATTTGTATATTAGTGTTAATATAATGAAATATCATTTGGCATCTCTCAATTAATTAATAATAATAGCAAAGGGGAAATGAAATGACTTAAAAATGATGGGGGAAGTTGAATCACTTGTTTGCATGCTAATATATATAATGCAGTGGGTCCAAAAACACAATATAAATAGAATATTGTACACTTGCTAGGTAGGTAGGTTGTGCATGGATGACAATCAGTGTTTGTCTTCTACATATTGGCTTTGGCTTTGCAAAAACCTGACGACGAGGAGCACGGATATTTTCTGCATTATATATATATATATATATATATATATATATATATATATATATATATATATATATATGATCTTATCGTGTACGTTTGTGTGTTCCATTACGGGAACAAATTGACATCCTCGTGAGCCACAAAACCTAAACCCTAAATCTACCTTGTTTCTCTCTCATCATCTTCTACAGTTCTACTTCCATGTAAATAATATACACATATATATGATGAGTGGGGGTGGATGAATCAATGGCTGATTATTGTCTAGATTCATTATATGCAATCTTCAAACTAGACTAGCCACTTCATTTCCACTTTGTTTGATTGATGTATCTCAAACCTAATAATGTCTTTTACTATTCTTGGCCGTCTTTCCAGTTAACCAAGTTGTTTAATTTGGTGGTGGGTAATCACTAATCACCATTATGTTCCCTTCTATCACTTTTTTTTTTTTTTTTGTTTTTTTTGTTTTTGTTTTTTTTTTTTTTTTTTGTTTTTAATATTAATTATGTTTGATGCATGCAGACATTTTTTTGGTATATGCTTTGCAAATTTTATCGTAACTTTTCTCTAAAATCGATGATCTACAAAGTAGAATAATTTCTGCTTCCCTAATTTTTTCTATTAAGAAAAGAAAAATAGATTGTTCTGTTTTATTGTAATTTACCTAACTCATCTTTTGTATACGTACTACTGGCTGTATTTTGTAATTATACTATAAACATGTAATATATATGTGTGTTTACTTCTTAAGTTGCGTGATTTTCATTTTTAAAGTACGTGATTTGTGTGCTTAAGGTGCGTCACTGGTGAAACTTAAGGTGTGCGGGGTATACATAGAGAGAGAGAGAGAGTTAATTCCACTAGATGTTCTAGTCTTTGGTGTTAATTCTAAATTTAGTCCCAAACGTCCCAAACTTTTTTAGTCATTCTCATGACTTTTTTCTATTTTTAGTAAGGACACTTTTGTATTTTCATATTTTTGTTTTATTATTTTTCCCAGACTACTATTGTTTATTTTTAATAATTAAGGGCACTTTTGTATTTTCATATTTTTGTTTGGACACTTTTAGTCATTACTTTTTTCTATTTTCCGGTTTAAGTGGTTTAGAACATTAGGTAACCTCTGATTTTTTTGAATGCTACTGACTCTATTACATTGTAGTATCTGTTCAAACATACTTTCTCAACCTAATGAAGCACAAAGAGTCAACAACGCATCCATTGAGGCTCGATCTCATGACCTCCCACATGGGAGGTTAACCTCTGATTTTTACTAACCATATTTTTCAATCGATTTTTAGTGAAGTCCTAAATCAATTAAACCGGTTGAAACAAAAAATATAACAAAAGAAAAATATGAAGAGACAAAAATGTCCTTACTAAAAATAGAAAAAGTAAAGGACTAAAAGTGTCCACAAAATAATATGCCAGGATGTTAAATAACAAAAATGATAGTCTGAGACTGAATTTAAAATTGCCACCAACGATAAGGGAGATCTGGTGGAATTAACTCGATCTATATATATTTACAAGGGCAGTGGGGGAGGGGGCAGTTGACCCCCTGTGGATCCACCCCTACTCCTTGTAATTCTTTACCGGCTAAGGTCACAAAACAGTGTACACATTCATGTAATGGTAGCAGGTTTCTCTCATCACCCAAAATTTAATTTTTGTTTCTCAAACTCATTTGGGAGATGTGTTTCTGACCAGATAGTCCTAAATGATTTTTTTTTTTCTAAAATTATACATTTTTTAAAACCTTCATATTTTTGTCATTATTTTTTCATTTCTTATATATCATTTTAGTCACGTGCCTTATATGTTATGACTCCCATCAGAACTATGATATGTAGATTAATATTATCCTTCTATATAAGATGAACACAAGTTAAAATTTAAGGTGGGCTGAATTCTATAACATGTCTGTAATTATGGTTGTGTGTGAGAGAGATACAAAATTATGAACTTGATGTACAACAAAAATGAGTCTAACATAAAATATACATATTTAAATAATTTACCTTAAATTAGTTTGTACATGCTTAAATAATAATGAAGTTTATGCACGCAAATACTGAACCTTATGCATATAAATAATGAACCTTTAAGTTATTTTAATTTTATACTATTTTATTAATTAATGTTAAGGAAAGAAATCACTTATAATTTTTCTAGCAAATATTTTCTCTTGTAATCTTGGTTTCATTATTATTATTCTTATTGATTCTATTTTATTTTCACTTATTGGTTTCTTGTATCTTATAGTTTGTATATATAGGGGTGAACATCTTGTGTAATGGACAACAGAGAATAATAGACAGTTCATACATTTCTTTACAATTAATTATTATACACATTCAAATAATGAATATTGCGTATAAATATAACATATCTGAGGTATAAAAAGAATATGATCATGATCCACTTAATAAGCATGGTAAGTTGCCGGCTTACTCTTAGTCTAGAAGGCTTATACTTTTTAAGAAAAACGGAATTTTCTCAGCTCCTTCATTATTATATTAATGTCGTCCTCTAAATACATCCTAGCTAGATCATATATAATAAATTAAGTTAGTGAATAGCTGTGATGAGATAGCTGCATGGAAAACAACATATATACTGCATGTCACCTAGAGAGTTAACTCCCACGTTTTTCCCTGGACAAGTCTTCAACACATCTGATGTGTAACCCTTTGGTCCAAGAGCCTATTGTAGAAAAATAACAAGGAAACCTTAGCATACCAAGTCATCATGCCAAAGTCTAAAGATCGATCGAGCTCAAATAACCACATCATTTCAAACTCCCTTATATGCACTACAAGTATATATACAACCCACTTGAGGATATGATCTTAGACCATATATACCATTTTCACCTACCTCTATATATGTAGTATTTTCTGTCCAAATAACCTCCTCATGTAACATTAAATGTTTGAATTTTTGAGCTTCATAGAAAATTAAAATGATTACCTTACTTTTTCTATATAACCAATAGTGTTTCTATCTGTGACTTTATTGCCATGTTGGTCGGTAACGTGAAAAACTATTAAGAAAATAATTGAAATTGTTAATAAATATCATTTCTTGTGCGTCGCTTAGTGCGTTATATAAACTTATAGATGGAGGCGGAAAAAGGGATGAAATATATAAGAGGTGCCCGGCCTAAAAGAGCTTCTAGTTAGTTACTTGTGCAAATGACCTCAATACCTAAGCTCACAAAATTACTTAGGGAATCCACTATATACACCCAAAAGAAAAAGAAAAAGTTGAAACATAATTGCTATTTTGTTTTGTTTCCCCGGCCTGTTTCCACATCTCCCCACAAATGTAAGTTTTAAAGCATACACATCTGTGTAAATCAATAAGCATCATATCGTTGTCTCTGGAATTTGATTTGGCTATTTATTTTGAGCATGCAGTCCAAGCTTGAATTGAAATACTGTACAACATGATCCATGCAGTCTCCAGTAGTTCTCTTGAACATACAACTAAAAAGGGTTTCAAACGGACCCAAATAAGATCGAGCTTAGAAATATGGAATGGGATGTGATTTGGCCCAACAATACTGGAAATATTACAAGAAAAGGTAGACTTACCATCCATGAACCACCCGCTAGCTAGCTTTTTCTGGTCTGTCCCATATTTAAAAAAAAAAAAACCGGAAAGAGGAGAACAAATAAAAGAATAAATGAAAATTCACAATTTCAAATAAAAGAATACCTTGAATGCTCAGAAAGTTGATCCTCACATACCTATGCTACAAAATTTTCATAAAAACTTGTAAAAATTCATATTTGATTGGGATTGGATTTCACTTTTACTAGTTCTCGACAACAAAAGAAAAGCAAGTATATATATAAATTGACTTCTCATAGTTCCAACATACCAATCAAATTAAAGCTTTATACAAATTAAAATAGCAGAAGCATAAAGGATTAGAATTTGAAAAGGAAGAGAAAGTTTAGGATTTAGGACCACTCTCCATAAATCATAATGCACAACATCTAAAATGGAGGCTGATTGGTTAACATTCAAAAAAGCACACAGCCAAAAAATCAATTTATAATCTTATTTGTTATCCTTAAACAAGCTATATATGCATTATCTTTATCAACTTCAAGAACACAAAATTAAAGCAAGCAAAGATGAACAATATTGTTCTCAGTAAAATCTGAGAACCTCCAAATTTCAGAGAATTAATGAGCATTATCTCACTCCTTAACTTTCACATACAACAGATAGGGAGAATGGCTATCATCATATGCATAACTTTTTAATGTGATGCTTATCTATAACCACTGCACTAACAAGTTTTTTTTTTTTTTTTTTTTGTTTTTTTTTTGCCAATGGCAAAATAAAATTGGCCTCAATGGATGATCCTATGTATAGCTTTGCACCACCAGCCTCAAAACAAAATATAATTTTTCGTTACCATGCCCATTTTTAACTTGCTTGAATTGTTTGTTTTTATGTATGTGTTACGAACAGTGTAATGAAGAAATTTAATTTATACTGAACTCTCTTAATGGGGTAATTAAACTTCTTTCTTCGTCACTGACTGAGTTTTGGAATGCCTTTCAAATATAATAATCAAAAACTTCAATATACTTGGTAAAATTTTCTGACATGTGAAAATTCATAAGTTCAAACATTAGCAAGATCAGAATTACAATCACTTCAAGGAATGAATTATATTTGAGCCTGAAACACAATTTAAAGTTTCACAAGCAAGTTGAGGTTGTCACTGCTCAAATATTATCTATTGGTTCCATTCCTTGCAAACACTAAGGTCATTAATCCCCCAATATAATCTCTCTCCTTTAACTTACTAAAGTTAAAACATTCGTGTGTTAGTGTTTAGTGGCTATGATATTTTAATATAAAAAATAATAAATTACTCCTACTTAGCAACTAAACAGCAGATTCAATAATTGAATATGGTAGCAAAAATTAAAACTTCAATTCCAGCGAAATCATTAACACAAAAAGTAAATCTAAAAAATTATAAACAAAAAAATATATATATTACTAACTGCTCACAATATAATGATTTCCTGACTCTCTAATTCTTGATGTTTACTTTTTTTATTTTCTTTAGAAAGACAAATCATGTTATAGTAGATTAGTACAACAAATTTGAGATTAATGCATTTACATCAATATATTAACAAAATGCTTTGCAGGTAGACTCCACATCATTACTAGTACTGACTTGAAGGAGGTTAAAGATTTCGGGGCTCTATATATACATACAAGTAAGACAAAAATAACTAAGCTATTAAGATTTCTTCATAAATAAAACCCAAGACTATAGTATAGTATTTAAATCTTAGTGAGTACGTAGGAACCAGCAGCTAAAGCAGTTCATAAGATTGATACGATGCGGTTAAAAAAAAATACAAAAGATTGATACGATGGCCATAACTTTCAATATTTTAACTATGCAGCATATATTCATGTAATTCTTACCATCCCTTTTTTTTTTTTAAGAAAATATTAATTCTTACCGAAATAGTTTTGACCCTTGCTAGTGCAGAGATGCTCTAGACTTTGGAATGGATTTTAAATACTGAAAGAGTTGACATAAAGATTTGATTCCCACACTACTTTAATGCCCGTTTGGTTCACGAAATAGGCTGGGAATGGCATAGCATTCCCAGTAATAGGCCTATTCCTTTGTTTGGTAACCATTTCTATTACCAGGAATAGTATTCCTGGTAATAGCCTATTACCTCAAATAAGGTAATAGCTATTACTAGGGCCCCCTGGTATTAGTCCAAACGCTAATTTTAGAATATATTTTCTTTTTTACCCCTTTCTTTAACCTAATTTTTTTATCCTATATATAAATTTATCCTATTTCACCACCATCGTTGCCGCCACCACCGCCGCCGCCACCACCACCACCATCGCCGCCGCCACCACCACCACCATCGCCACAACCGCCGCCCCCACCACTGCCACCGTCGCCGCCGCCGCCACCACCACCGCCACCAGAACCACCACCCAGCATCACCACCGCCACCACCACCATAACCGTCGCCGCCCCCACCACTGCCACCGCCACCACCACCACTACCACCCCAGCACCACCGCGCCGCTGTCGCTGCCACCACTACCACCACCATCGCCCCCATCACCACCCCAGCACCACCACCACCACCACCATCGCCACCACCGCCACCACCATCGCCGCCACCACCACCACCACCGCCACCACCATCGCCACCATCACATATTTTTATAAGGGTATTTATGTCTTTTAAACATATTTCATTTCTATTTCTTAAATCAACCAAACACTGTAATATAATTCCTAAAGTCTATTCCTTCCGCGAACCAAACAATAGAATACAATTCCTATTCTATTCCTTGCCTATTCCATTCCTTATGGAATAGCATTCCTATTACCTCAAAATTCATTCCGTGAACCAAACGTGCTGTAAAGGACAGCCAAAATTCCCAATATATCATATCATCTCAATTAGGGCCGGTTTTTCCATTTTTGTGGCCTGTTCCGGTAAATAAATGAGGCCATACCAAAATCAAAATCCTTAAAATTAATATCTTAATTTTTTCTAATCTATATTATTCTAATCGAATATCAACCAAGGAATTGGTCCCACATGTTTCTCCCTAATGTAGAATTGGTCCCACATGTTTGTTTCTGCTCATATGAAAAATTTCAATAGTGTTCTGCATTGATACATATTTACATGTATTTGAATGAATATTTAACAAATTTTGAAAGGATTAAAGAAATAGTAACAATTTTATTATCTAAATATATAATTAGAAAATTTTATCCGTGCATCGCACGTGCACGCGCACTGCACGGATAATTGGACAATTATTTGTTCGAATTCAAGCAAGAATAACATTAAAAAACATAATTGATACAACTCATTTCATCAATTGCATTGTATAATATTCGTTGTATTTTAATAAGAGAAAACAGAAACATAATTAAGATGATGAAGTGAGTGTATGTATGTGTAGCTTGCTGGCGTGTATTGCAATCTCAGCAGAGAATACCAATCATTGAGGGAAAGAAGAAAGATGTTGTATTGATGAACATAGTAGTTGCTTATTACAGAGAGGAAGATGATAGAAAAAAGAAATGGAGAATTACAAATCTGTTTTTATATAAAGTCTGTAACTGCATCTTACAAAATACATTTTGGATGAGCTGGACACAAGTTAACTAGCTAGCCTTGGAACCTTATAGAGCCTTTTGATGGGTTCTTGGAGAAGTATGGTGGTGATGATGTTGATGGGTTTGTTGTTGGGGTAATTTAGGAGATCACAGAGATGTTAATGTACCTGTCTGGACTGTTGGTGGGAAGACCAGATCAGAGGTCGCCGGATCTCCTATCGTCGTTCGGCACTGTTGTTGCTGGTTCGTCGGAGCATCACAGGAGGTCGCCGCCATCCGCACAATGCACGATGACTGCCGGAGAAGTCTGCTTCACTGTGTACTTGATAGATGGTGCCGAGAAACCCTTATGCATCAAAGATCAGTCTCCGAAGTCGAAAACCACCTTGAAGGCCGTCCGAGAAGAAACCACGCCGCCTCACGCCCAAACTCTAAAGCGGAGGGGAAACCCACCTAGAACTCTAGAAGAAGCACTTGCTGCTTGAGAAAGGTACTGCCCGGATAAATGCAAGCTAGCATCCACAAGCAAAAGCCCAACTAACAATTATTACTTGATCCACGTACAAGAGAGTATTGCAATCTCAGCAGAGTATACCAATCATTGAGGGAAAGAAGAAAGATGTTGTATTGATGAACATAGTAGCTGCTTATTACGGAGAGGAAGATGATAGAAAAAAGAAATGGAAAATTACAAATCTGTTTTTATATAAAGTCTGTTTTTATAATGCCTGCCCATGTAGATCCACTTGAAATCATTATTGGCATTAAATTAAAGAAAATAATTATATATAGTTTAGGGTTTAGGGTATGGGCAATTCCCAACTGTGTTCACTAAAAATATAGGGAAAAAATGAAGTGCCATCAAATCCAACTTTGTAACAATGAATCAGGATCATATCATATCATATGACCTTAGCTTGCTTATTTACTCACAAACTTGGCATATTTCTTATGTTTTTTTTTTTTCTTCTTCTTGTCACCACTTTTTCAACAAATAATAACATTCATGTGATGACACTATTTATTTCCCAACTACACTTATTGTATTCTTCATACAAATTAATTAATAAATTCATTTAAAAAATTAATATTTCTCCTATTCATTCTCTAGAGGAGATAAATCATGAAATGTGTCTGAATTAACCTATATGCCTCAATATACTTGTACAATAGTGCACACAACAAGGTCAAATCCAAGAATTTAAATCTTGCACCATGTGAATGTTAACAAAACAAAACTTATGTACTTTTTTGAATGCCAAAACTTATGTACTTATATGCCCTAAGAATATTGAATTTTTTAAAAAAAAAAAAAAACTCATGGTACGTAAAGTCAACTAATGTATGATTTATGAATAACAAATAAATATAATAATTTAATTTTTATGTCAAGATAAATATTAAGAGGTACATTGTATGTGAGCTGCATATATATTTGGAGTACAAGGGGTGTGTATATGAGCAATCATTATACCACATGGACCATGGTCAACATTGTAAGGCATATTATTGACATACAAGTTTATTTTTACTGCATTGCATGTTTATTTTTAATTTTGAATGCTCATTTCTAATGTATTGTATATTCATTTTTAGTATATTATCTAAAAATTAATTTATAATTAAAAAAATAAACATTTAAAATACAAAAATAAATATTACAGTAATTAATAATTCATTTTACAATGGAAACCAGTGTTAATCGGCGCCTAGGCGCTAGGCGCTAGGAGGCCGCCTCGAGGAATGGTCTCGGCGGCCTCCTCCGCGGCCGGCCGCCCAGATCGCCTAACCGGCCTGTTCGGCGAATTGTTTTTTTTTTTTGTGTTTTTTTTTTTAATGTCGGAAAAGTTTCGGAAGGCATACTTTTGACTCGGTTGTCCGTTTTTTATAATTTTCATGGTACGCTAGAACCTCAAAACCTTTATAAAAGTAGGATGAATGTCTGCGTTGTGTATTGTGATGTTCATGCTCCAATTTGCAGGGCACTGACACGAGAGGTTATTGTTCATCACAAAAATTTGATTGACAGCAAAATTTGGCTCTTTGCGGTGATATTTTGATCCTATGATGACGAGGGTGATCGAACTGATACAAAAAACACATATTGTAGTCATAAAGACTATCACAGAAAAGCGGACAATATCCATACTAGGATAAGCTTCTCAGACTCCTCGAAGGTGGCAGAAGTTTTGGCGGACAGGGTAGAGGTTGCGGGAGGAAGAAACTCTGAAATTTTAAAACTTTTTTTGGGTGAAAGAGGTATCCTCAGGAACGTTAAATAATAAAAATAAATAATAATTTAGGGACTTAAATTTGTTTAATTTTTTTTTTGGTAGAATAAATTTGTTAAATTGTTTTAACTGTACTTATTACAAACAAATTTCTAAAAGTGAAGTAATTGAGGATTATTTTCCCAAGTGAAAATGTAATGTCTCTGCCTTTAATTGCCACCATGCGTAAATGCGTAATCCAAGCGACGCGGTTAGTTGTGTTTGTGATAATTTCCTTCTGGAAACAGCAAGTCCATTCCATTACGCCAATGCTTGCGTATATTTATCTCTCAAACGCTCATTCCCATATTCTTCCCAAATAAAAAGGCGATGAAACCTTTATTATCACAATATAGACCATGGTCCACACAAGTTTTGTGAATCATATTTTGTATGTTTTGTAATAATGTATATTTAGTATAAAAATAATGTACTTTTAGTATATTAATAATGTACTTTGAAGAAAAAAATTTACAAAAATCTTAAATTAAAAAAAAAAAAAGTATAAAAGTTTTGCCTTAAATTTAAAATTTCACTCTGTTGGGAAAACGTAAAAAAAAAAAAAGGGGGGGGGGGGGGGGGGGGGGTTGATTGGTTTTATATCATAGTATTGAGTATTGGTTTTTATTGTATTTCTTTTATACATAGAATAGATTCTATAGGCTATAAAAATTCCTAAAGTCATAAAAAATGTAGAATGAATAATGAATATAGTAAAATTCTTACGAATAGGGCCTTCTAATGATGAATAAATGAGGACCCTTTCGCTCATAAAAAAAAAAAAGGTACCCTTGAAAAGTCACAATTGAATATAATTTTACTTTCAAAACTTTTACTATCCATAATTTCAATTGAATATAATTGCATAACTACACATCCATAACTTCATAACTATACATCTAGAATTGCATAACTACACATTTATAACTTCATAACTATATATCTAGAATTGCATTACTACACATACATAACTTCATAACTATACATCTAGAATTACATAATTACACATCTATAACTTCATAACTATACATTCAGAATTGCATGCATAACTACCTATCCATAACTTCATAATTATACATTCAGAATTGCATAACTACATATTCATAACTTCATAACTATACATTCAGAATGTGAAATTATAACTTCATAACTATACATCCAGAATTGCATGCATAATTACACATCCATAACTTCATAATTATAAATCAAAAATTGCATAACTACACATTCGCAATTTCATAACTATAAATCCAGAATATGAAATTATAAAATTATGAACATATATTTACGTAACTAACATCAATTAAAAATAATTTTTTTATTTAAATAAATGAAGCCGTTTTTGCATCCGTGTGCACTATGCACACGGATGCACAACATAATTTGCCTTGCTTCACGGCATTAGAACCCAAAACATTTTCAGCAATTTTGTTTAACAAATTATCAGCTGCAATATGGATAATTCCTTCAGCCAATCGGCCCAGCTCACTCTCGGTAGGCCCAAAAGAGAACTAATTCCTTGGGCTGTGTTTTGGCCCAGCTCCTTTTCGTTTGTGTGGTCCCCATCAACCATAAATAAAATATACATTATTAATATACTAAATATACATTATTTATATATTAAATGTATATTATACAAAATAATATATAAATACATTATTTTATAAAATATGGTCTATACAATTTATGTGGACTAATAATGATTGTGATAATAAGAGGTTTCATCGCGTTTTTATTTGTGTAATATGGGAATAAGCGTTGGAGAGATAATCAAGAATGGTTCATGGTGCGAGATGTCACTTTAACATAATGTTAATATTTTGTTCTTATTTAAAAATTTAACTTATATTTATTTTAACTTTTTTCTTTTGTAAATTAAAAAATCATTTTTTTTAGAACAATTTTATTTTTCATTTGTATCTTAACGTGAAATACTGAATATATGCATTATTGGTTTATTGTCAACAAGACATTCATTTCATTTATTATTATAGTTATAGTATCAATAGTAAAATCTAAATATAATTTTAAAAATTATCAAAAAAACTAATTGCATCTAGTAAAAGCTAAATCAAATCATTTTGAAACACAATACCTACTAAATTCAATGCATCTTTTTTTTTTTTTTAATGCTAAATAATAAATAGTATCTACAACATCCATGATTGTAATGAGACTCAAGTCCATGGACGGATCTACAATGGGGGCAGCTCCCCACCCACCCTTTCCTTTATATACATGTACAAGTCATAAAGAAATTCAGCACTTTAGTTGGATGAGCGTTAGATAATACATGAAATGGCATGGGATTAAATCTCACTTACAATACTTTTGCTTATTTTAACTTGGGAAAAGTGTCAAATTGATCCCCGTGTAATTGAGTCCCCTAACTAAAAAAAAGCTTTATTCAAATCCCCTAAATCTACAAAATTGTTCAATTAAGTCCAAAGCTCCTTTTCAATTTAAATACAAAATTATTCACCAAAATTTAGATTTCAATTCTTTCTAAAATTTTATTTTTAATTACAACTAAAATCAATCTATAAATTCAAAAATAATAATTACCGAGTATAAAAAATAGGGGCTAGACATGACCAGGACCGACCATGCTAGTACTTTAAATTAACATATATATATTATGTACTTGTAAATAAACTAAAATACATAATATATTAACTATAATAAATACATAATATCTCAACTACAAGTAAATGGTAGGCGATATTATAACATTTGTTTAAACATGGTATATGATAGTTACCTATTGGCATCATTCAGTTTGGATATTGATCAAGTATCCAAACTTAGCAATAGTCTTAGTCTACCAGTGGAATTACCAGACAAGTTCCCTTCCCTTCAATTTACTTTCTCTGCTTATTTGTTGCAGTTGAACCATGATCGATCTCTGGCTGATGCCTGGGACACTGCACCCTGAATCTAAGGGTTAGATAATGCTCTCGCTTAAGGGCCTCTAATGTACTAAAAAAAAAAAATGAGCATCAAATGCTATATATGATTCTTATCAAAAATATATTTGTGACATGGCAAAAAGCTAGTAGTAGTAGTAGTATAAAATATATGGACTAAGAATGAGCTGATCTTGATCACTTCCACTGGGGCATAATTAGTCCAACATCCAAGTAAACATTGAAAAGCTTAAACAACAAGTACAATCAAATTTTTGAGTTGACAGACACTAGGTTTTTATTATTAGAGTAGTGAAGATGATTAATCCATTTATTGATAAACTAAGTTTTAGGCCCGGAATTTCCCCAGTAAGCTCCCAAAGAAGAAGCTAGTCTTAGACCAAGCAGCAGTCTCAGGTGGTACCTTTGCACTTGCACATGCACATGCTGCCACTTTCTTCACATTAAGCATCATCCTTTGCCCGATTTCTTTGCGCAGTCCTTCAATTATTTTTGTGTCCACTGGATTTCCAGATGAGTCTCTTACGTAGAACACATTCACTCCTTGCTCCCCAACAGTTGACACCCCCGCTCTTGTAACTAACAGCCCATTTTCTCTCAGAACTCTTGTTACATCAGATAGCAGTCCTACCCTGTCCTTTGCACATAGTTCTAGTCTTAGGCCCTGCATCAAATTCAACCCAGGCCACTTCAATCAACTCTACCCAAAAGGGTATGCAATGTATGGAAATAATTATTAGCTAGTCTCCCTCACCTCACTTACTCTTCTTTGAATAGCAGCTTCAAGGCACTTGACGACTCTATCCTTTTCCCCTTCAGTATCCAAAGTGCATCCATCCATATGACGTATATAGTATTCCTACCATCCCAGAACCTTAAGTTCAATCATTAGAATCAAGACTCAAGGATATTTAGGCTATTCTAAAAGAGCATAATTAGTTTTCTGCAAAACCTCACTTTTAGCCTTATAGGTGTAAACCTTATCACTGATTAAGAAAAAGCTCAATATTTTGTCTTCTTAATATCCAAAACTAAACAAGTGCGAATCATTTTCCAGCTATACTACTAACTAAACTGGAAAACCTGATATCTTCCTTTTACCCAATTTGTTTACACAGCAATTCCAAACTCATATTCTAAAATTTGTATATTTAGTCATTCCTACAAAACATTTCTTTTGTTAATTATTCTTGTGGGCGCAGAACTGATGTCCTTAAGGCTTATACCTTTTAAGAAAAATGGAATTTTCTCAGCTCCTTCATTAATGTCGTCCTCTAATTAAATACATCCTAGATCATATATAATAAATTAAGTTAGTGAATACCTGTGATGCAGAAGGACCATCTGATGAGATAGCTGCATGGAAAACAACATACTGCATATCCGTTAGGGTGCACACTATGTCAAACATAAGCTTTGGCCTGTCCTTGCACTTCACACTGACTACAGAGTACCCCTTCTCCACACAGTGATCAATTGAGACGTTTGGTTTGAGTGAAGGACAATCTGCCTCCATGTCCAGGCAACCGCCTTCATAATCCCGGTCAGCAAAGAACATTTGATGCAGCCGCCGATCAATGTGGGTGCTGCCCATGGAGACACTCGTGTGTGCTATATTATTATCATCCTTGCATGCTCGAAGAATATTTTTGAGCTGCTCCTCAATCACACACAATCTTGATGGATCATCAACAGCGTTGCATGAAACTTTGTCGTTCACATAAAGAACACATGCTATGCGCTGGTTATGAGTCCAGACCTCAGCAGCAACAACATTGAAATGAAGATTGGCAAGGACAGCAGAAATTTCAGACAGAAGACCTGGGCGGTCCCTGCCTATAAGCTCAATAGCAGTGTAGTCACCTAGAGAGTTAACTCCCACGTTTTTCCCTGGACAAGTCTTCAACACATCTGACGTGTAACCCTTTGGTCCAAGAGCCTATTGTATAAAAATAACAAGGAAACCTTAGCATACCAAGTCATGCCAAAGCCTAAAGATCGACCTCAAATAACCACATCATTTCAACCTCCCATATGAAACTTATATGCACTACAAGTATACAACCCTCTTGAGGATCTTATTGTGATTCTATCAGTAATTATTTGAGATCCATATCACACACATTCAGGATGGACCATACCAACTGTTCACAGAATATAAACACAATCATTGAGTCTTGCCCCATATTTGAAAAATTATCAGAACAAATTACTGAAATATGATTAATCTATAGAGAAATATTCCATACGAAACAACAAAGTAGTTGCTCGTTACACATCAGCATAGCATGTCAGATGTGAATAACGGCCATATTATCAAATCTTTCTTTATAATTTTCAGTGTGTCAAAGAATTGAGTCTTTGTGCAACTAATACTTTTTCACCTATTAGTGTGTGTGTGTGTGTATTACTTATTCGTAGTTCTGTCCAAATAACCTCCCTCATGTGACACTACCTCAATGTAAGCAACATGGAAATCCCTTGATGCTAATTAAAGCATCATCACCTTCCAGCTAAATCAAACATATATGTTTGAATTTTTGAGCTTCATACTGAAACCATAGAAGAAAATGAGCACCTTACCTTTTCTATATAACCAATAGTGTTTCCATCTGTAACTTTATTGCCATGTTGGTCGGTAACGTGAAAAACTGTTAAGAAAACAATTGAAATTGTTAAATATTATTTCTTGTGTGCGTCACTTGTGTGTTATATAAACTTATAGATGGAGTTCATAGAAGGTGGAAAAAGGAGATGAAATATATATGAGGCGCCCTAAAAGAGCTTCTAGTTTGTTACTTGTGCAAATAACCTTAATACCTAAGCTCACAAAATTACTTAGAGAATCCACACAAAAAGAAAAAAAAAAAAGTTGAAACGTAGTTGCAAATTTTTTGCCTTTCTCCTAAACCTATACCAAGCTATTTTGTTTTGTTTCCCATCTCCCCCTTGCCCCCCTTCCCCCCCACCCCCCCCCCCCCCTTTTTTTTCACTCCCCACAGATGTAAGTTTTAAAGCATACACATCTGTGTAAATCAGTAACCATCGTTGTCTCTGAAATTTGATTTGGCTATTTATTTTGAGCTAGCAGTCCAAGCTTGAATTGAAATAGTGTACAACATGATCCATGCAGTCTCCAGTAGTTCTCTGGAACATACAACTAAAACAAGTTTCAAACGGACCCAAATAAGAGCTTAGAAATATGGAATGGGATGTTATTAGGTCCAAAAATACTGGAAATATTATAAGAAAAGGTAGACTTACCATCCATGAACCACCCGCCGTCAGAGGATACGTAAGCTTTAGTGATAATGAGATCAAGGTCAGACAAGACTTGCACAACCTCCAGAAGTATTCCTGGTTTGTTGACACTGTCGACCTAGGTGTTGCAATGAAAATGTTCAACTGGTCATATTAGGAAAGGGAAAGCTAGGGAAAGAATGATGTTTCTGATGCATCCCACTTTATGAAAAACATTTGCTAGAACATTATACCTATGAGCACATCTATGTGTACAATCAATATCTACATAGTTCCAGGCTGAGCTAGCTTTTTCTGGTCTGTCCCATATTAAAAAAAAAAAGTAACCCAAAAGAGGAGAACTAACAAAAGAATAAAGGAAAATTCACAATTTCAAATAAAAGAATACCTTGAATGCTCAGAAAGTTGATCCTTACATACCCCTATGCTACAAAATTTTTATAAAAACTTGTACAAATTCATATTTGGGATTGGATTTCACTTTTACTAGTTCTCCACAAGAAAAGAAAAGCAAGCATATGTGAGTAATACAGCCTTTTCTGTTTCCATTTTGGCCAGTTTGTCAGGTAATTAATTAACTTCTCACAATTCCAACATACCAATCAAAGCCTTATATAAAATAGCAGAAGCATAAAGGATTAGAATTTGAGAAGGAAGAGAAAATTTAGGATTTAGGACCACTCTCAACAATGCACAACATCTAACATGGAGGCTCAAAGTCTGATTGGTTAATATTCAAAAAAGCTCACAGCCCAAAAATCAATTTATAATCTTATTTATGAGATAAACATTCATGACTGATAAGTTTGTTATCCTTAAACAAGCTATGCATTATCTTTATCAACTTCAAGAACACAAAAGCAAGCTAGGATGGACAATATTGCTCTAAGTAAAATCTGAGAACCTCTACATTTCAGAGAATGAGCATTATCTCACTCCTTAACTTTCACATACAACAGATAGGGAGAATGGCTATCATATGCATGACTTCTTAAAAAGGTTGGCAAAGTACCTTCACTATGGTACAATCCTTGCAGCTGATGTTGTCAACAGACACCCTAATAGATAAACCAATACACAATTTAAAATATGGGAAAAAAATGATATCACCAAAATTAATGGTTCAGGAACACACAAAATGAATGATGAAATCTAAACAGAAGGGCACAAAATATTTTAAATTTTAGCCATGGAAATCATACAAAAAGAATTGTTCAAGGATGTAGTAAGATATACTGTAGAATAGAACCTTGGAGGATTTATTCTGATGCTTAGAGTCTCATATTCAGGATCAAAATATGGCCAACATGCCCTTGCCATATCAACAGCAGTGCTATAGTATGCTAGTTACTTCTCCCCTTCCCTGCCCAAACATTTGAGCCAATATTAATACATAGTCTATAGTAGCTGATGTACCATTAATTATCAGTAACATGAATAGCAATTTTAGCGGCACTTCAACCAAAATTAGCAATAAGGGAAAGGAGATTAAAGGTATACAATTGTAAATAGCAAGTCATTGGCAGGAGAACTGTGACTACTAGACAAAGGATAAATATGCCCTGAACTGCATGTAAACTTTTCAAATATTATAGTTCTGATGCAGAACAGCAGAACAGATTTAAAGATGGAAGAACAAATACATTTGCCACCAAAAAAACATATAATTTGATTATTTAAAAGGATAAGATGAGAAACAATCTTGCGAGGCATAATATTCCTAACACCAACCAACTGGAATTTAAGCAACTTCTTCAAATCATATAATTTGATTATTTAAAAGATAATAAGAGAAGTAATCTTGTGAGCGTAATATTCCTAACACTGTCTAGTTGGAATTCGCATAACTACTTCAATTAATCAACAACATAGATGTAGAGTAAGACATACTAATGAGCTGGAGGAAATTCAATAAAGTTGCACCATGTTTTGAATAGAGTTATACAGTCTATCCATACATCTTTTCTTCATTTAGTTAACTACATGTTTCTATACTGGATAAGGAGGACAGGCGGAAAAGTGTACTCAACTTGACCTTTCATTCTCACATAGTTTTAGAATGTGGTAATACATTAGTACATTACAATTACATGATAACTTAATGAAAGTTTAAATTAGCCTCACTTTCATCATATAAAAGGATGCAAATCAGCAATATTTTCTAGAATTGGCATTGCAAATAAAAGGTGCTAACCAATGCTCTGAACATGCATTCACATGAATCTGTGTGAATAAGAAAGACATTCACCTCACCCTTGTACATGCCTCATGCGCTACATATATTCAGGGATTTCATTAAAAAAATCAGATCTATCCAAAAAAAAAAAAATAGAGGATTGGATTCTGGGTGGACAGACGGAATTAAAGATGTGCCAATGCATATTGAGATGCAACAATATCAAGTCTAATTTGATTTCATCATATAAAGGGAGGGATACATCCAAACAAATTACAATAATTGAAGTGTAATCATGGAAAATTGTAATACCTTGATAAGACAAGTTGGAATAGTAGCTTCTGTCCTTTTAACTCATGCATTCTCCATCCTCAAAGTTCATCTGAAATCTGCTCATAGTTCCGCCAAAAAAATTTTCACATTGCAGGAGATGCAAAGACCTGGAAGTAAGAGATGGAAACAATTCTCAGTATGATGAACATGTTTCTGTGGATATTCACGAAGGATATTGTGCTTGACCAACTGTTGAAAAGGAGCCAAAATTTAATGTGATGATTATCTAGTGTTAGAGAAATAGGGCGTTAGTTGAGAGGATCTCTCTTAGCCTTAGTTTTAGGTATTTGAAACCTATGGCTAGGATTAGTTCTTGTCTAATATAAATAGCTCTATACCTCCTTGTACATTGACACACAGAACATATAGAAATATACAGTTGAGTAATGTACACAGAACATATAGAAATATACAGTTGAGTTTATTGTTTAACATGGTATCAGAGCCTTGAGGTGACTGGGTAGTGGGTGTTGGTCAGAAAGAGGAGGCGACGCCGGCGGGAGAGGCGGAGCAGCCACCGGAGTCCTCACGCGCCGGCGCAGTCCTAGGGTTCCGACGCCACACGCCGGTGCGTGGGCAGTTCTCCGGCGTCTTCTCCGGTCGCGGCCGGTACTGTTGGGCTCGTCTCTGAACACCCAACGCGTCTGCAGTGGTGGTGTACTCCGGTGTTGCGAAGGGCTACTGCGTTTTGGACTGCTACGTGTTGGACTGCTGCATTTTTTGGACTGCTGCGTTGTGGACTGCTGCATTTTTGGACTGCTGCGTTTTCGGGTTGGTCTGTTTTGTTTATTATGGCTGAGGAGAGTGAGCAGAGGATGGAGGGCTGCGTCGAGTGGTTCAGTGAGGGGTTTGGGTTCATAACCTCCGACGACAGCAGCGAGGATCTGTTTGTTCACCAGTTTGGTGTCAGCCGAGAAAGAGAGACAGCCAAGAGAGGTGATAGGGGAGGTCCATGAAGCTGGGTGGTCTGAGGTCCACGAAGCTGAGGAATAATTAGGCCGTAGTTTTCTTTTGTTTATCGTATTCGTATTAATAAGTCTTGAGCTTTGTATTTTGTTTATCATAGTTTGTCGCTTTAAGTTAACTTGGTATGGGAGCAATTCTAGGGTCTGAGTTGAGTCAAGTGCAGCTTGTTCAGTGTGCGTAAACAGGGGTGTTGCAGGAGTGGGCAGCACAGGTGCCAGGAGTGGGGCGGACCTGGCATATGCCGCGGGGGAGGCCGACGGTTGAAGAGTGATTCAGAGTGAATCAGTTTACGTACATGCACCAGGGAAACGCTGTAGTGTTAGGCAGCGTTGATAAGGGTGCATGGTGAGAGGGACAGGTGCACTGTGGTCTAGCAGCGCTAAGGGTTTGTGGAGTGTGAGGCAGGTAAACTGTGGTGTTAGGCAGCGGTGATAAGGGTGTGGGGAGTGAGAGGCAGGTGCGGCGCTGTGGTGATTGGCCTAGCTTTTGTTGGCTCCGTAGAAGCATTGTTGATGCGACAAGGTGCGTTGTGGACTGGTTTGGCACAGCGTGGTTCGAAGGTTGTTTGAGTGGTTCAAGACTTGGGCTTATGAGTCTAAGTGTGGAGTCCTATGGTTCGTGTGATACATATGTAACAAGTTGGATGCTCCAACTTGAGGGGGAGTGTTAGAGAAATAGGGTGTTAGTTGAGAGGATCTCTCTTAGCCTTAGTTTTAGGTATTTGAAACCTATGGCTAGGATTAGTTCTTGTCTAATATAAATAGCTCTATACCTCCTTGTACATTGACACACAGAACATATAGAAATATACAGTTGAGTAATGTACACAGAACATATAGAAATATACAGTTGAGTTTATTGTTTAACATCTAGAACCACTAACAAGTTTTATTTCACAATGGCAAAATACAAAATTGACCTCAATGGATGATCCTATGTATGGCTTTGCAGTTTGCACCACCAGCCTCAAAACAAAATATAATTTTTTGTTACCATGCCCATTTAACTTGCTTGTTTGTTTTTATGTAGTGTTTGTATGTGTTATGAACAGTGTAATAAAGAAATTGAATTTATACTGAACTGTTTTAATGGAGTAAATTAAACTTCTTTCTTAGTCACTGACTAAGTGTTCATTATGCACAAATTTTGGAATGCCTTTCAAATAATCAAAAACTTTAATATACAATCACCTCAAGGAATTATATTTGAGCCTGAAACACAATTTAAAGTTTCACAAGCAGGTTGAGGTTGTGACTGCTCAAATAATATATCTGTTGGTCCCATTCCTTGCAAACACTACAGTCATTAATCCTCCAATCACTCTACTTTAACTTACTAAGTTAAAAACATTCGTAGCAGTAGTGTTCAGTAGCTATGATATTAAAATATAAAGAATAATAAATTACTCCTACTCAGCAACTAAATAGCAGATTCAGTAATTGAATATGGTAGCAAAAATTAAAACTTCCAGTGAAGTCATCAACACAAAAAAGTAAATCTAAAAAAATATAAACAAAAAAACAAAATACTACTAACTAACAGTATAATGATTTCCTAACTCTCTAGTTCTTGATGTTTACTTTTTATTTTTTTTAGAAAGACAAATTATGTTATAGTATTTCTTTAAGATTAGTACTACAGATATGAGATTAAAGCATTTACATTAACAATAAGGAAATCATTAACAATGCTTTGGTAGACTCCACATCATTACTAGTACTGACTTGAAGGAGGTTTAATATTTCGGGGCTCTATATACATACAAGCAAGACACAAATAACTAAGCTGTTAATATTTCTTCATAAATTAAATCAAGACTATAGTATAGTATTCAAATCTTAACGAAGGACCTTGTGGTCCATTGGTATCTGGTTGTTCCCTTATGTGGGAGGTTTAAGGTTTGAGCCTCGGTGTAGGCGTAGATTATATATGTGGGTATCTCCCTTCCTTTGTAATAAAAAAAATCTTAGTGATATAATAGCAGGCGGTGGTCATAAGATTGATACGATGCTACCTACTCTATAATAAATGGGATCTTGTCTCAATAGAAAGGTGGTGTCGCAGGACCTCAGCTTCTGCCGCAAAGTTGATGTAGGGTAGCATAACTATGCAGCATATATTCTTACCATCCCTTTTAAAAAAAAAAAAATATTAATTCTTAGCGAAATAGTTTTGTCCCTTGCTAGTGCAGAGATGCTCTAGAATTTGAAATGGATTTAAAATAGTGAAGGAGTTGACATAAAGATTTGATTCCCACACTAGTTTAAAGGACAGAAAGCCAAAATTCCCAGTATATCATATCATCTCAATTCTCAATCACACTTGTTTGACCACAAAAATTGATGGTACGGATTCGATCCACAAGAAAGTTAGCAGCTAGCCAGCTTTGATCCAATGGCAAATTAAACCCCTAAATAAATTAAAGCACCGCGAGCGACAACTAACTGTTCTACACTAAAGAATAAAGATCATCATCGCCTTTTCTTAAGCAGTTTCCATGGAATTTGGTTTTTTAAAGAATACAAAAAACAGGAAAACAATTAAGAGCATGAAATTTATATATAATATAATTTAATAAGAGAAAACAGAAACATAAGTTGGTGGGTGAAGATGAAGTGAGTGTATGTGTAATAAGTGGCCTGGCGTGATGAATGATATGATTCAAAAAGAAGGATGCAAATAAAAATTAAAGACAGACAAACAACACAAATGGAAGAGATGAATTAGGCAGTTATTTTTGTATTGTTGTTTTAGTGAGAGAATTGAAGAGAAAGGAGGTACGTACTGAGCTTAAAGCGCAAAATGAAGAAGGTAGACAAGATGGAGAAGAGAGAGATATATGTATATATGGATCGCGAGGGAGGGAGAATTGATATTAGTAGGAAGATGAGATCAGAGCACTCACTCAGTAGCTTGATAGTGGAATGGTACTAAGAAATAAGAATGATCGAGCTAGCTAGGGAGTTCTTGTGGGCTGCTGGACATCATACATATAGAAGCAACGCTACGGTTGAGATTTGAGAATCAACCAAATGACTTGTTGGTGACTAGGAGCTTTATTAAAGTTGCTACGCAACAAAACATATAGGTATGCACTTATGCCACTATAAAATAAAATACAATATTGGGTAAAATCATTTTCTCCAATTCTAAACCTCTCCTATAAAAGAGCAACCAGATACAAGTGGACCACAAATTCTTTGATGGGCAAAATCAATTTTTGATACTATATAACTTAACTTCATCAATAATAATTTTGAAAGGTCAATCTCAATTTTCTTAATTAACTACCTTTTAAATTACAAAAGCTCAGCTATATTAAAAGAGGTAACATCTAATTCAACCACCTACCCTAAAAACTTGTCTCTATTTATAAGTTATAGTTCCGTCACGGGTGAGAAGGTGAAATAAGATGCATGATGTAAAATATTTTACCGTACTTTATATGACTTGTGTTGAAATTTACTGGTTGGACAATTTGACTGATTTTAATTTGATATTGAATTGTAATGGTTATATTTCAATTATAATGTTATTCTAGACTCGTCCTATCAATAAAAGATAGTGATAGGACATATACCTCAGGTGTACATACTCATACCTGATTGGATCCAACTCCATACATAGAGAGTGACATTTACTGACTGCATCCGACATCATTGGGGTTCGCTCGACCCAACCTAAGGACAAGGCTCCTTCTTAGCTTAATGAGTCTTTGCTCAATGAACTTTAAATTCAGTCCCGACTCAGACTGCTCGGCTAGGGTTTCCTAAGCCAATATGATAAGTACTAAAAGACAAATAAAGATAATAACATTAAACCCGAGCACGCTAGCTATAGGTCAATCAAATATTCCATCACATGTGGACGTCGCTTATTTAGCCTCCCAGACTGTCGAGTGCATGAGGAACATGTGTCACATGCACATGCTGACTCCTCGACATGTGTCTCCTCCAAGTTCCTATAAATACTACATTAAAAGCCCCACAGTGGGGACTTTTAGGATTTTTCTATCCAAAACCTTTATAAGCTTGGGACCCTCTGAATCTCTATCTTAACTGTTCAAGCTGTTATGTTATAATTTTTACTCACTCATGTCTGTATACCTGAGAATATATACCACATTATATGGGATTTAAAAGAATTTATACAATTTAGGAAAAAAAAAAAGAAAAAAACAAAGTAATTTTTTTTCATTAATACTAATAAATATAAATTTAATCAGAATACCATTTTTCACTAATATTAAATTATTAATTACACCATTGCATAGAGATAACAATGTAAGTTTGACAACCTAACCCACGTGTTACTGTACCTAATTATGTCAACACAACACAATCATTCTAATGTGGATTGGAACGGCATCACCCTATTAGTGCATGTCCATGGAAATCATGACATCATTATTGGCGTTAAATAAAATAATTATATATAGTTTAGGTAGGCAGTAAAAGTATAGGGGGGAAAAATGAAGTGCCATCAAATCGAACTTTGCATATTTATAAGAACCAAGAGAAATGGAATCACATTCCAACTTACATTTTGATATATAGTCCCCACAAGAATCCCTTTTATCAAGGAGGAATTAAAGGAGAACAATGAATCAGGATCATATCATATCATATGACCTTAGCTTATTCACTCACAAACTTGGCATATTCCCTATGTTTTTTTTTTCCCCTTCTTGTCACCACTTTTTCTACAAACAATAAGTCAATAACATTCATATGATGACACTATTTACTTCCCAACTAGAATTATTATATTCTTCGTACACAAATAATTAATTTCTCTTTAAAAAAAGTTAATATTACTCCCATATTTGAATCCTAAGGAAGATAAATTACGAGATGTGTTTAAATTAACCTATATGTCTCTATATATAATTGTACAATAGTGCACATAGGCTAAATCCAAAAATTTGAATCTTGCACCATGCAAATACTAGCAAAAGCTACACTTATGAATTTGTTTTTGGGTTGATTGACAAGTTGAACTCTTCCAAAAACATTGAATTTAAAAATTAAAAAAAAATTAATGATAAAGTCAATCATTTATGAATGGCAAGCTAAGGTAACTATTAAGAGGAACATTGTATGTGAGCTGCATATTTAGAGTACAAGGGGTTGTATATATGAGCAATCATCATACCACATGGACCATGGCCAAAATTGTAAGGCATATTATTGACATACAAGTTAAATATTTTTAATGTATTATATGTTCACTTTTTGAATGTTAATTTCTAGTGTATTGGATGTTCATTTTTAGTATAATATCTAAAAATAAACCTATAATTAAAAAATATTTAATATATTAAAAATAAATATTAATTAATAATTCATTTTAAATTACAATGTGAACCGTGATCCAGGTATAATTTGGTATAGGAAAAATGGTCAAATAAGCCCGTAAACTTTATCAATAAAATCAATTAGGTCCTTGAGCTTTTAAAGTTGCAATTGAACCCACAAACATGCTATCTTGGAGCAATGAAACCCACTAACATGTTGGTGACCTGAGAATTACATATCAAATAGGGTTCCAGACTTCCAGCCAACTCCGACAAACATCCGACCAAATTCTAGATAGCTTGGTCAAATACCGACGATTGTTACGTTGTCGTGTTCTGCCAGAGAAGGTGACCAAGTTGGCCGCTTTCTCCGGCTACTGGAGAAGGCAACCAAGTTGGTCGTCACCTTTTCCGGTAGAACAGGACTGGCGACCGTAGACGGTCATTGGTAGCTAGTATTTGACCTATCTAGCTATCCAGAACTTGGTCGGATGTTTGCCAGAGGTTCGTCAGAGGTGGTTGGAACCTTAATTGACTTGCAATTACAGGTCACCAATAGGTTAGTGGGTTTCATCGCTCCAAAATAATATGTTTATGGATTTAATTGTAACTTCTAAAATTTAAGAGCTTATTAATTGACTTTTTGGGTAAAATTTAGAGACTTATTTGACTTTTTTTCTTTAGTATATGATGGATGATTGATTTGGTGCGTCTATGTATTGTTGGGAAAATCAAAGATGAAAGCTTTCTTATGCGTTGCCATCTTTCACTCAAAATGAGTGAATCTCATTTATTGAGAATGAGGCGTGTAGCATGTCTTTTGGACATTAGTGGCCAAGAAGTGAAGACTATATTACTATATATAGCATACTTCTTTTGTTCATTAAAAACACACGCAAGCTTCTTCCTTCTTTCTATATAAGAATTAATATATATTATAATATAATATATATAATTCGTGACTATCGGTTAAGGTCTGAGCAATAGTGAGGTTCGCCTACGTGATTGCTAGTGCAAGCTATCCGTAGTAGGTCTGTGTAGCCTATCGAAAGCATGCCAGGGTTCTAACTGCACCGTTACCGGGCAAATAACGCTTTTAAGGTAGTGTTATTATAACACGGCACAGATTTTCTTCCTACCATACATCCGTAGTGTCCGTGCTTCTTAAAAGGCTTCCAGATCGTGCGTTGACGTTGCTATTTTCCCCATCAGTTAAAAGCGTTATTCTGCAACAGTCAACCTTCAGCATTATGGCACCTACTGTCATACCGGATCTATCAAAAATCATTGATTATTCAATATTCATAATATTCTGTGTAATGTTATTTAATATTTGATTATATATAAATTACATAATACCATATAAGAAATACACATTAATTCAAAAAAATATAAACTTTAATACCTATTTCATTAATTAGTTTATACACTATATAAAGAATACACGTTAATTCAAAAAAGGTAAATTTTAATACCATATATATATATATCTTACAAAATATTTTTGGTTATATATTACAAAATATCATATAAGAAATACACGTTAATTCGAAAAAGGTGAATTTTAGTACCTTTTTTTTTTTGATGCTGGTGAATTTTAGTACCTAATTCATTGATTAGTCAATATTCATAATATTCTGTGTAATGTTATTTAATATTTGATTATATATAAATTACATAATACCATATAAGAAATACACATTAATTCAAAAAAATATAAACTTTAATACCTATTTCATTAATTAGTCTATATACATGAAAATTGTTTCTTATTTAAAACAATGTGTGAAAATTGTTTAATGGTCAGCAGTCAAAGTATCCAAAACTAAAACAATGGAGATGAGAAGTCAGGTTACACTTTAAGAAAAGATATATAATAATTATAAAATATTATAATAATATTATAATAATTTAAAAAGTAATTTTGATGGATTAATTAAATTTCAACTATATTTTAAATTAATTTTGTGCAGCATAATGAGTATTGTAATACGTGAGTGTTGTTTGTTACGTAGTATTATCTTTGAATATAGCACCATATACCAAGATAATAAAGGATTAGATTTATATCGATTTGCATTAATATTCATATATTTATTATATAAAAATATTTGGTATATATATATATATATATATATATATATATATATATATATTAAAGGTAAGTATCATATCCTTAGAGCATCCACACTAGTAGTTATTTAGGAGTTATTTCTACATGAATTCTCTCCACTCAAAGTTAATAGCTGATGTAGGGAGGAGTTATTTCAAAAATATTTCTTATGCAAAGTATGGTATATTTGTGGTCCCAATAAGTAAGAGAAATAATTAAAATATAGTGAGTTAAATAGTGGGTGCATAAAAAACTGAGAAATAACTCAAAATTGATGTGGAGAAGGATTTTTTGTAATTGAATGAGATGATAGAGGATGAGGTGGATGCTGGGACCCACAAATAACTGAGAAATAACCTCAACTGATAAGGATGCTATTCCATTTATATAGATTTGCATCAATATTCATATATTATAAATTAATTTATGATTTTTTTTCTTAATTCATTTGTTACCTATTTTATGCTAAGTAATTCTAATCTATAAATATGATCACTAGCCTATGAAATCATTAGTACGTCATGGCTTTGAGAACAAACATAATTCTTTTTGTTCTTTTTGCTTTTGTTATCAACCATAGCTATGGCAATAATGTTGATAGTTGGGGAAAAGCGAAAGGATATAAGAACGGTTCAATTATTACTCGTTTAAAGGTAATTTTAAGGTCTAAAATATTTTTTTAATTTAAATATTGTTATATATATATATATATATATATATATATATATATATATTCTATTACACTCTTTAGTGCATAATAACTAATATTTGTAAATAAGTGTTATTTGCTTATATTTACAACTTGACATATTTATATTTATAAACATGACAGACCATTCATGGTGATATTTATGATTGTGTGGACATATATAAACAACCTGGTATGGACCATCCAACAATGGCAACAGAAAGAATTCAGGTATGATAGATGCATGTTTCAAATCTTATTTGTTATATATAAACTTTTGTTTTGATTTTTGGCAAAAAGGAATTTTACTAAAATGTTACATACACAGATGACAATTGCTAAGGAATTAGAGAGGCAAAAGGCTAAACTCGCATCAGAGGAACAACGTTCAATAGCTAAGAAAAATGATAGTTTCAATCCTGAAGACTTATGGTTGAATAAGAAAGGATGTCCTATTGGAAGTGTCCCTATTCGTAAAATGTCTAAAAAACAATTACAAATTGTTCAAAATGTGCAAAGAGCGCAATACACCCCCCAAAAGTTAGACAATCATTCATATGCTGCTCCAAGTCACAATGATGTAAGGCACACTTTGAAAATTTTAGTAAAGTATGAAATACTAATAAAATGTTGATTTTGACATTATATTAAAAATATTTATTGTTGTTCAGTTTGCGGGACTTTTAGTTGGAAATTCTCCTTCTGGAAGATTTACTGGTGCTCGTGCTACAATGACTATATGGAAACCAAAACTAAACGCGGATAACCAATATAGTTCGGGTTCTTTGTATGTGGAGGATGGAGATAATCAAATACGAGTTGGTTGGATTGTAAGTTACTCAAAATTTTATGCATGCTTTTGAACTCAATATGAAATAGTCAACATTTTTGCCCAATTATTTATGTAAATCTGATATGTTTATTTTTAGGTAAATCCTGGACTATATGGTGATTCGCGCACTCGATTATTTAGTAGATGGACAGTTAGTATTTGTTTACTTGCTTGTTTTTACAATTATCAAAAAGACTTTTTTACTTTTAAAATAATTAACTAATGTAAATCAATAATGTATGCACAGAGTGACAATTATGAAAAAACGGGATGCTATATCAATCGTTGTCCTGGATTTGTGATAACATCTAATGTTGTACCACTTGATTATGGGTTTCCCCAAACATCTAAATCGTATGGAGAACAATTTGATGTGACCCTCGAAATGCATAAGGTAAGTATTATATTGCGTGAAATGGATTTGTTGCAAATTAGCTTTTTATTTATGCTTATGAAAAATTCTAAGTGCTTAAGGGGCAGTAAATTAAAACGCACTAAATTTTGAGTCATTATTATTTTGACTGCACACTTGTTTACACTAATTAACATAACTCTATTTTTTTATATAAGTATAAAAAGGCCAAGCACCTATATTCATGTGGGATCTCTGTAGCCAATCGATATGTTATATATGCACCAGGATACACAATGTATTGTGTGCCTTAAAAAATTTCAAATTTCATGTGTGTGTGTATATGTATGTATGTATGTATGAAATAAAATAAAATTTTAAATCTAATTTAATTTTGTGCTAAACATTGTTTAGGGGACTCCTACTTCAGATTGGGAGTTGTATTACAATGGAAATCTACTTGGTACGTGGACAAGGTCCATATTTTCAAAGATGGGTGAAAGTGCTCGTCAATTGCGATTTGGAGGAGAGATTTACGAACCAGAAAATGAAGATAATAGCCCTCAGATGGGAAGTGGCACTTTTAAATATAAAAAGTATGATAGAACGGCTTATATGCGTCGATTAGCTTATTCTGATCCTGTAAAAGGAGATTTTAGTGTTGGGGATGCTATGATCCTTCAAGTTCAAGAGTCCAGATGTTTCCTTGCCGGAGCTCAAGCATATAATTCTGGTGATGATTGGTGGAGATACTCCTTTATATATGGAGGTACGGGTGGCCCTGATCATTCACGTTGTGTCTACTAGTACGGGATGAAAATTAAACTATATTATAAATAAATATTGAATTACTAATACACATCTTTATAAAAATATATAATTATTTAATGCGAAATATGAAGTACAAAATGTTTCAAAACAATACTAAATTTACCAAAGTCATAAATATGAGTAGACATAAAGATAAATTGAAATAATTATATATATCCAATTACAAATTTTTAAAAACTTGTTGATACACAACATTTACTGTTGAAGAAGAATACTTTCCATTCTCAACTAAAACCACCACTTTAAGACCATTTGGGCTGTTAACTCTAGACAAAGCCACATACAACTGTCAATGTGAATTTTTCAAAAGTAAACCAACGTTTGTAAGACTTTGTCTTTGACTCTTATTCATTGTCATTGCGTAAGACAACATTATAGGGAATTGTCTCATTTGAAACTTACCTGGCAATCAAGGATCTCATGATGTCAACCACAATCTTGGAATCAAGACTCGTATACCCATACTATTTCCTAACATCACTTTCAATTCGCTTCACATAACATGATCTAATGACCAATCTCATACCATTGCACAAATCAAGAATACAATATCAATATGGTCAATGTTCCGCAAAATTAAAGCATAAATGGAGATCCAACTTGCAAGCTAATTAGACAATGATTTGAAATATCTAAGCGTCTCAAAGTTTTAAGAAATTCTGTGGTATGTAATTTAGTCAATGTATCAGTCTCGTATTGTGGTATATATAGTTGTTTGGACTAGTATTGCTAAGTTTGAGCACTTGATTCAAACTGAATGATGCCATGGATCCAATTAAGTGCTTAATTATTCAGATGCACATAGCAAGCTAGGGGAACGTGGTTGGTATATATGTGTCCATTTGTCCTTCAAGTGATATTTTGTATGATTCACCATACCCCTCTCCTCCTCGTCCTTTCTTCTCTATGTGATAGATGTAAATTTTGAAATATATATATATATATATATATATATATATATATATATATATATATATATATATATATATTGAAAACCATCGGAAGACAAACAAGAATGTTTTTTATTTTTGAAAACTAAAAACCGAATTGATCGAAGCAATTAACCTAAACTTGTACTCATAGCATCTGGACACTTGAGATTATTATATTATATACTTTAAACTCATAGTACATTTATATGATAATTACACAGAAAAAAGTGTCAAATTAGCCCCCTAAGTCGAGTGGATAGTGCAATTGGGTTCCTTAAAGTGAAAAAAAGCTTCATTCATGTCAGGTCCCCTAAATGGGTAAAAATTGTTCAATTAAGTTCAAATTGACTTACTTTCAAAAAAAAAAAAAGTTCAAATTGACTTGTTTATCAGGTTATATGCATATGGTGTTGACACGTGTCCTTATTTTATTTTTTTTATTAAAAATATTATTTAATATAAATTAATTAAAATAATAATAATAATTAAAAAATTAAAAAAATTAAAAAAACAAAAAAAAAAACAAAAAAAAACAAAAACAAAAAACAAAAAACAAAACAAAAAAAGAACAGCCACCGGTTGTACACGCCGGACAGCCGGTGGCTGTCTTCCTTCTTCAAGGACAACCGTGGCCGCTGTTTTTTTTTTTAAATTCTTTTTAATTATTATTATTTTAAGTAATTTATAATAAATAATATTTTTAATAAAATAAAATAAAATAAGGACACGTGTCAACACCGTATGCATTTAACCTGATAAACAAGTCAACTTGGACTTAATTGAACAATTTTACAAGTTTAGGGGACCTGAATGAAGCTTTTTTCACTTACGGGACCCAATTACACTATCCACTCGACTTAGGGGGCCAATTTAACACTTTTTCCTAATTACACATGTTAGATTATATTTTTGCAATGGCACTTTTGTAGCTCTCAAATGCGAGGTCACATGTTCAAGTCTCAGTAGGGGCATTGACTCTTTGTGTTTCAATAGATTGAGAAAGTATATATGTATATATACTACATTATAATAGAGTTAATTGTTCTTTAAAAAAAATATTTTTGCAATAACATCTTATCACTTTTGTACAAAATGAATGTATTATAAATGTGAGTAACAATAATGTTAGATACACTCATACACTTCATATTTTCCTTCCCCAATTTTATCTTCTTTGATGTGATATTCGTTAATTGGTCACTATTTTTTTAATGAGTGATATGTTAATTAATTTATGGACACCTAATGAATTGAGCAACTTCACGAGAGAAATATAAGCGGGGAAATTAAGAACCATTATTTACCATTATAGAATGCACAAGTTTTAATGCTTTAGGTGATTAAGGGATTGTTGCACGTATGTATGTTAGTTGTGTATTGACTATTGTTAGTGCAATTAATAATTACTAAATGAGTTTTTTTGTTCTTTCAGAAATATATGAGTACTTTAATTTAAACAATTTATTTCTTCAAGTGTTTAAAGATTTTATATACTAATGATCATCGAATTTTTATTTTTTATTTTTTGAAAACAATTCATCCTTAATTTATATACATATAGAAAAACCAATTTGAATCGTCCATCTATAAAGATCGATAGATCATATATAATTTAATTCTTTTCTGTTTAGTTTAGGGTGTTTGGTTGGATAAATAATATTTTTCTCTAACTTTGAGAAACATTTAATTCTTTTATGTTTAGTTTATGGAAAAAAGTTTTCGAAGACTAAACATTAATATTTTATTTTATATGGACATTGAAAATCATTTATCATTTTATAGGATAATTTTCTCCTTATAAAATTTTTTAACTACTCTTAGAGAATTAAAGAGCAATTGTATTTTTAATTTTTATTATATATTTTTTAAAATTAAAGAGCAATTGTATTATTTTTAGTTTTTTAACCTAACACTTTCAACGCTTTATTTTAATAATTATTATTAAATTTTGATTTCAAACGTTGTACCAATTCAATGTGATATTGTAGACCGAACCTCCCAAAGCTTATATATCTTAATCCTTCTCCTAATCCGGCCTAACTCATTTTTGTAGTTGATGATAGAAACCCACACACTGCGGCAAACTTTTTTTGAACACCAAACACACCACTTATATTAATTCACCGAACCAAAGTTACACATAAAAACATAAAGCAAAGAAACATAAACATGCATGGCCGGCCGGATTAGGAAGTTATGATACACAAGGCCGGCCGGAAAATAGATACCTAAATTAACATCCCATGCCTCCGCTGACTCCGCCACCTCTGCATCCGCCTCCGCCTCCGCCTCCGCCGCCTCCGCATCCGCCTCCGCCGCCTCCGCATCCGCCTCCGTATCCGCCTCCGCCTCCATCCCCTCCACCGCCACCTACGAAACCACCCACTGATCCTACGCCACTGCCACCGCCACCGGTAGAGTATCTTTTCTTACTCTTACGCCTCTCCGGAGGCTGGTTGTCGTGTGTGGCAGAGGAGTCTCCACACATGAAAATCACCATTGAAATTAAGGAGATGGACACAAAAATGCATCCCACCATGATCAATAGACTTGGCATTTTGAAGAAAATTAAAAGTGATGAGAGACTAGAGAGAGTGTAGGGGGAAGAGAAAGGGATCCCTTTGAGCTGAGTGTAGTAGAATGAAGGGCTAGGACTCTGAGTGTAGTGGAATGAAGGGCGCTCTTTATAAAAGCCCTTGATTCCAGGGACGGAGCTAGAGGGGGCAGGAGGCAGCTGCCCCTCACCCCCACCCCTACCCCTACCCCTACTCCATATATAATTTTTGTATGTATATATATATTACATGTGTTAATATTAGTAAAATAAAACTATTGAATGTAAATGAGATTTGATTTAGATGAGTTGGTTGAGTACATATTGGGTTAATCTAAATAAAGGTTAGGGGTTCAAATCTAGTTATTAACATAATTCTATAGTTTGATTCAATAGTTTTTTTTTTTACTCCTTCCCTATAATTTCAACTAAAAAAATTTCTGAATCCGTCGCTAGTTTCGCCCTCCTCAATCGGATTTCTGGCTCCATCTCTTGCTTGATTCGTATAGTACTCAATACATAATAGATGAACAAAAAATGTAGGACGGTATATTCTAAGTATATTCTCAATGATATAAATAGAATTAGATAGATCGATAATGTAACTTAAGAGAAGAATCTTAATTGAATGCACTTGAAATGATCTTAGGGTGTGTTTGGTTCGCACATAGGAATCGGAATCGGAATCGGAATGGGTGTCAAATACTTGGTAATGGTAATGGATTTTGGCGAAAGTATTTAACATGTTTGGTAGTAGGGTGAAATGAGAATGGTTACTAATAGTAGTGCTTGAAAATGAATAAGGGAATGAAACCGTTATTTAATTTTGGTATGGATTTTTCAATTGATGGGGTATTCAAAACTCATAGTAATATCCTAAAAACCTATTAACCAAACAATAATAATCACTTTCATACTCATTCCTATGGACAAAACCCATCAACCAAACACACCATTACTTTGTATCTTTGTCCAGTTTACTATAAAAATAAATTATATGGGAAAAGCAACTACATGCATCTTCCATTCATATGTCAACTTCAATAAGACTCCTAACGATTAAAAAAGAGAAAAGAAAAAAAATTAATCTTCCATTGAGAGAATTCATGGCTTCTCATCATGCCAACATCATATATTTCTAGATATGATCTGCTTCGTAAATATAAATATATAATGCTCCTCTAGAGTACAGTTTCTTTTATTTTATTAAATTTTATTTTTTCAAATGATAGTTCAAAAATTTTTAAATCAAATTTAGTTCATCAAGCTGTAAAAGGTTAGTGTGTATAATTATTTATTTCAAACTAAATAAATAGGTGTATGATGACTACAAATTATATCATGGATAAAGATCTATCATGCCTATAGTGTATCATGGATCAACATTATGAATCTATTATAGAGATGATGGCCTTGGGCGGTTGAGCTCATGTTTATTGTTAAACGGCTGATTGGTCACGTTCGAGATGGAGAATGAGTGTCAATTTGAC